GGCGTTCTCGAAGGATGCAGTCATGTGAATCCAGCTGAGTAGGTCCAATGTTGAGTTGCTTCTGAGCCTTATCGATTGTTGTGCATTCAATCAGCATCCGGTTCCTTTGGCCCTGCTTCCCATATACGGTCGTGCACAACAGCCATGGTAATTTTGTATCGGCAGTAAGCCCTTGATATGGTCAATGTGACACGGTTGCTGTTCCCGCAGGCACAATCCACTGTGAAATAGGAAGAAGGTTGGTGGCCAGGCAGGAAAATGTTTCTTTTACCTGTCCAGTCGGTGACAGGTGAAAAGATGACTTTAAAAACCTTAATCATGGCATGCCACGAGAGGGCACTTCTACCATTCGAGACATTGTTGCTGTGAGCCACTTGTCCTCCCGGTAACCACCCTCCAAAAGCCTCCAAAGTTCAATCCGACAGACGGATGATGATCGTAATGAAATTCACCTGTTTCCGCTGACAGAATAGTTGTCCGACATTTGCAAATTGCGCGTTTCGAACTGACGTGTAGTTTACAATTCCAGGTAATGCATTGTAGTTCATATGTCATCGAAAGACGTTGCAATAAGAGGAGTACTGTCAAAACAAGAAGGGTATCAAAAGAGTCTAGGGATACAACACTGCAATGAAACGAACTACCGCGAGTCAATGGTTGTAATCCGCTATATTTGGCGAGGTCCAACGGTCAAGTTTAGATGATGTCGATTGCGCCCAACCTACGCTTGAGCCCACGCTTACCGGTGGCGCAGGCCCAGGATTTGGCGAAAATAAATTTGCGGGTCGTCGCATCGTCTTGGCGTACGGCAGCTGATTGGAGTATATGGGATCTTGCATACGCAAACCACTACCAAGTTGAGGAGGATGCTGCGGCTGAATCCGCTGCTGTGTTTGTGGTCGTTGAGGCTGCGGTGGCGGGGGTAGAGGTTGTTGTTGGGGCTGTTGTTGAGGCTGCGACTCCCATCCACTCCAAGGGTTACTTTCCCGCTCTTGTGGCATATCAATATCAAACGCCCACGGGCTCATACGCGAACCAGAAGAAGACGACCCACTCCGCATCCGAGATGCAGCGGAAAGTGATGTTGAGACTCGACCACTCTCCTCTCGCTCGAGATCAAGTGTGATGCCCTTTTCACTCAAGGAGGCGGAGTCAATGCCTAGCATCTTGCGCAGCTCCTCATTCTCCTTTTCTAGTCGGGAAATTTCAATTTCGCGCTCCAACGCCCAATCATCCCGGATCTCGGATTCTGCTTGTTGGTCTATTGTTTGGAGGAGAGCAGTGATGTCGATCGGGGAGTCTTGGGTGCCATCATCGTTTAGTTCGGGTTCTTCGCCAGACATGGAGCGATGTAATGCACGGAGAGTGTGAGCAAGGCGCTGAAGACCGACTGCGGTCTTGGTTTCGGAAGTTAGATCGGTATACTGGTTCTGGGAGTCACAGGCCAGGAGTAAGCCTTCATAGTGGCGCGTCAGGGTAAGCTCATGTTGCTGGGCTGCTAACTAGATTCGAGGAACGTTATTATCGGAGAGCTAACAATGGGCTGTCAAACGCACCGCATGATTCCGAAATTTGGACATAATGGTTTCCATAGTGCTTTCATATTCTTTAAGAAGGATACTAAATTGCTTGTTCTCGTGAAGTAGGGTTTGGTTCTCTATTATGAAGTGGGCGTTCAGGCGCTCCAATTCGGAGTCGAAAATTTCTGCGAACAAGGTTTAGCCCTGCTGCGGATGAAGGACCTAAATGCAAGCAGACCTTTGGAAATGTCGGTATTAAACCGCCTCAAAGCAAAACCTGAGCTAGCATGTACGGCCTGGTCCTAGTGAAAAAATGTGAAAGGAACGGATATTAGTAGTGACAGAACTGACTTTTATTGAAGCAGCTTGTGAATGTATTGTATTTGATAACTTCTTGTTATGAGCAAGCTGGTCGCTGAGCTCGTGGATGAGGAGCCATGCGCGCAGAATATCGTTATCCATGATCATGTTTGAGAGCAGCTTTGTGCTCTTCCCAAATAGGAAGGATTGACAAGAACACAAAGTGCACTGTTTGAACTTTTGATCAGCTTAACGTTTAGCACAGTTCAAGGTGGTGCTAGGTTGCTGCGGAATAAGGAATGAATTGAAGAGACTAGTGTTTCACTGACCTGACAGAAATCTTGTGAGCTTGGGGTCTAGGTGAGAGAGCGTGGGAAGGAATGTTAGAGGGTCGACTCGCGACTTGTTCACGAGCTTTTCTCTCCTATGATAGTTCCTCCTCATCAGCCCGAATTCTGTATAACATTTAAACTGAAACGCTCGCTTTCTTCGATAATCAATTGGGAAATAACTAGCGATTATATCACTGTTTATCTCCAGCACACGTTTACTTCGGCAATTTCGACCTTACATTTATTCTCGCTAATCATCCCCGTCTGCTCTCTTATTCGGCTTTCTCGTCGCATTCGGTCCTCGCCAATTTTTTTTGCAGCACAACTTTAGTCTTCAGCTCATTCATATCAAGTTTCAAACATGGCATCTGCCTCAACATCTGGTCTATCAGCGTCAGTCACGCGCATTTTGTCTTTGACAGGCTTTGCAAAGGAGCTCAAGACCAAAGATATCCAATCCGCATTCTCGGAGTGGGAGAACATTGGCGGAGGGTTTAAGATCAAATGGAGAGACGATACGAGCCTCTTGATTGTTTTTCAAGATGCCTCAGTTGGTATGCCATCAGATTTCTAGTAAAACTGTGTCTTACGAATTTATTTCCACGTGGTTAAACAGCAAAACGAGCATATCTCCACACGCTCGCGTTTCCTCCTGCCATCCTTACTACCGGCAGTTCCGCTACCATCAAACCCTATGATGGACCTGACGCCCAAACTGTCATTCAGACAGTAAACACCAGAGGCCACACAGGCAACGCTTCTCGCGGCCACAATTTACGTGCTGCCTCTATTTCTGTTTTCCCCAGCCGCAGCGCCAACACCAGTCAGAACGGCAACGGATTACGCAACGGAAACGGCCAGAATAACCATGTGCTGAATGCTACTATTTCGGAGCATTCACCAAGACTCATCAACGGGCGTGAGCCTTCTCCGACCCTTCCGACGCTCCCTTCTCACCCGTCTCTGAATGACCTCATAAATTCAGCCGTGTCACACGATGATCCCGCTATTCTTCACGCGGAGGGTCCACCAAAGATTGGAGATCCAGGGAAGAGAATGTTGGGCGCTGCATTAGGTGTGCGACACCCTGCACTGGGACCGCGGGTCATTAATGGAAGTCATGTCACGGGAGGTGCAAGTCCAGGTACTAGCCCCAGGGGCAATGGACTTGATTCTACCATGAGGGACATACAGAGGGCAATGGGAGGGCTGACTGTCGCCGAGTGAATAATACAGCATGTCCGAAGATGCGTCTTTGGATTTGCATCGTGGCGTTTCAATTGAGTGCGTGTAATTGATGTTTTCGTGGCTGATACGCATCCCTTGATGCATAATTGGAGGTTTTCATATTTTTTTCTGTTTCTTTGTGCTATCAGTTCCTGCATTCCTCGTGTCACCATACGTAGTCCCTCGTTTTCGAATGTTTTTGTGCAGCCAAGACCAATTACTACACATTCTAGCGCCGCATCTAGGCCACACCATCCTGACTGTGTGATATGCGCCAGCGTGTTCCCTGGACCTAACATTGGATTATGAGGATATTAGTTATGAATTAGTCATAAAAATAGTTGGTCTGTGCCCGCAGTTCCATTGGTTCCTGAAAGTTAGAACACCCGTCGTTAACCCCCTCACACACCATGGACCCTACTGCCGACCTCGTTGCCCGTGCATGGTAGAATTTAGTCATGGCAGGATTTTGATTTTGGCAGTGCCACTACCTGTGACACGACATGATCGCTGCCAACGATGAGCACAGCTCTAGCCAGCTATGCTAACTTGTTTTAGATCCTGATTGAGGCTCCTGCTGTATGATCGCGCGCAGTTCAGCGATAACGCACCATCTGTTACGACATCACGGAGAAGCTAATACATGGCACCTTGGCCCATCTTAGTAGCATCATGAGGTTTCATCAGATCAAGATGAAACGGAAGATTGAATTTCATGGGAACAGGTAAGGTTCCTTATTCGGCCAGTGCACTCGTTGATGGACAACCTTGATTGATATTCGCAAGCGCATCTCAAGCGCATCTTGTTACGAACCCCTACACGGGCCTGACAAATGCCCAGAGGCCACCCGTTCCGGGAATACCACTGATCACGCGAGGGAAACAAAGGGAGTAATGCCAAATATGTGGTACAATGCCTTGTAGCTATTGACGGCTGCCAGTCACCCAAGGGAACTTCATGGCGCTGTCAATAACACGAGGTTCAGGTGCGTCTTTCCCTCACAATCAGAGCAACTCTCCAGTATTCTTTATCCGGTTCTCAAGCCAACTCCTTGTAGACACGGTTAACTGGTCAGTGACCTAGCTGCCGTAGCTAATACATGCGGCCTTCTTTCTGACCGGTGATTTTCCTGATATATCACATGGTTGATGACTTTAACGACTAAGGTCGCCAATTCACTTCCGCGTCCATTCTTGCGCCATCATTTAGTACAGATTTCAACGTGTTCGTGAGCCACTTTACCCCCGATTGCGTTGTTTGCTATCGGTACATTACGGGACTGATCAATGGAAGTAACGCAGTCACAAGAGTTAATCATTCGAGACCCTATACAATCCACCACCAACAGCAGCCGACTTAGCGATGCGGACCTGGTTTTAAATCGCCTGTCTTCCAATTTGATACGTTACTGACATCCCAGCCTTTCTATTTGTGTTCTTTAACATCCAGATTTCGACCCTTCTTTACGGCTGATCTTGGGGTATATGATCTCCGAATCGATTTCCGCGCGCAGCTTTCGTTGCTGCTCCATCATACACTGAATGTGACTTCCCTCATCATCTAGACATGCAGCCATACATATATTGCCATCCTCAGTTCCAGTCCCCCCATACACACATCATGAGTCCCTATATCCACTCCCACTCTCCCGATAGCGCCTACTCTTCCGACGGCTTATACTCCCCTGCCGAACGTTACCAGCCGAAGTACGAGTCCTCTGCGACCGTACCAAGGTTCAACTCATGGTCAGCTTATGGTCATATTTCGAGCCTGTTACGTGCTCCCCACCATGTTCCATCCATCAATCCTAAAGTCACGATTTTAACGACACAACCATCCCTGTCCTCCGACATTAGCACCCCTTCGTCTGCGTCGACGCAGTCATTACAGACGCCGTCCTCCCCATTTGTCCACTATCCCGACACCCGGGAAGACATGGATTTTGATGATTCTGACTCCGAAGATGAGGACGCCGATTTTGATATTGAGGGGATGGACGGGATCGAAGAAGAAACTATGCCGTTTTACGGTGTAACCATGCCTCAAGTTATGAAATCCACCTCTGCGCTCGAAGGCGCGCTGGGGGAAGGTTCACGGTCATCTGGCCCTTGGTGGCCGCAGCCATCATCGTCATATATGCTTTCAGACCGGCGAATGTCCGTGTCTGCACCTGGATATCCTACTTCGTCTCATCGACAAATACCCTCCCATGCACAGCGACGACAGGACAGTGATATGTATTCCCCAAGACCTCATAATGATTCGTCACCAACATCACCTTCATACCCTCATCACAGCTCTTCATATACCCAGGACAGTTCGAATTCAATGACTACATTATTCGCACCCACTTCTGCATTGTACCAAAATTCGTCATCGTCTCTAGCCGATGCAATTCCACTCGGCCTTGCACCTGGAGCAACACGACATTCATCGAACCGTCTGCCCATTTTGCAACCGCAACCAATCCGCCCAATCCCCCCCATTCCTTTGGACGAATTAGCATCGTCCGCTGCCGAGGTTGATGACTCTGTCTTTCCAGATGAAGGCATTCGTAGACCTCGGGAGCGGAGTCTTTCGCCTCTTCCACTTCTTTGCCAACCAGTCTCCGATGCCGTGAGGTATCAGTTGAGCACAAACCCTAGGAACGCTCAGGGTGACGGGGAGTCATATGATCACCAGATTATGGCCGAGCCGTCACCTAGAGCTTCTATTCAACCTCATCATTTTAGCCCTGCTTATCCCCGAAACTGTTCAGGAGCTACGCATACTCCGATGTGTACTTGTAGGCGCGATAGGAAAATGAGTAGGCGGTGATTTTTTTATCCATATCAATTGTTCATGCTGTGATGTTATTCATGAAAAGATTTTACTTGGGTATTTGATCAGGCCTAGTAACTAGATAACTATATAATTGGACCGGGCATAGTTTATTGCATGTCTTCATTCCATTCGGGGCTCGTTAATAGTTACTTAACCTAGTGATATTATGGACACGTACAAACAAAACGTGAAGTAGACTAAAGAGGGCTGAAAAAAAAACAAGGCAACTGCGTTCTGAATCAGGGTAACCTTTTAATTATTATTATTGTCAAATGGTACCGTAAAGAGAATGTCATCATGGAACATGAAACTGTCTTTAGGATCTGGGAATCCCAAGACAAGTCGTGCGATGGTTATGAGGTGACGCTGGGAATTCAGGGGTTCGCGAAGCAGATTGACGGTTTTGCGCAGCCTAAGTCGAAAGTGGAATTGCTGTTCAATAAACATGAAACATTTGCTATATCGATCAATAAGTCAAGTTAGTGTGCACTGGATCAGGATATGAGTCGAACTTACCGGTGCCAAGGTCGTCATCTCACATCTATTGTTTGTTACATTCCTCCGCCAGCAGAAGTCGTCCGCATTCTAGCGCTGCGGGACGTAAAGGACCTCGTCTTGATCCTGTCACATTCACGTAGGTACGACTTCTGTGGAGTACAGGGAGCGAAGCGGGTTTGTGGAGCTACACTCTTCCGGCGACTTTTCTTGTTTTCATTGACGTTCGAAGCCGGTTGTGGCAACGGGGCGGGGCGCTTAGGGTTGACATCGACATGGTAGAGTTCAGCCGAAGGCAGCAGTGGCGGAGATCCTGGGAAATCCGGACGTCCGTGGACAGATCCTCCACGGATCTTCGACTGTAATGAGACCGAATGGTTGGGAAGTTCAGGGGCGCCCGAGTTAGATGGTGCATCCAGAAGGAGATCCTCAGCCTCACCCCTTTCCTCGTTCGGAAGGAAATAGAAATCTAAAGGTACGTAGGATTGGCGCCGACTGCGGATAACAGGTGATTCCCTGATTGGATTATCGACGCTGGTCCTATTCAGGTCAAGTATTGGGAACAACGTGTCCAGGGGATGCGTCCCGTTATCTGTGTCAAAGGAGAGGACTTGTGCTTTCGGCCTGATCGTACTCGTGTCAGATTTGACTGGCTTGGAATTTCTAACCGAAGCTTTGTCCATTATGCAGAGCTCTCCCGAGTTAACCCAGCGTCTATACTCGCTGCCATTGCAGGGAACCGATTGGCGATTGTCGGAAGAAGCTGGTCTTCGGTCATTGTAATGAGAGTTTCGGTAAGGCACCGCAAGAAGCCCCTCGTAGTACAGTTGCGACCGTTCCTGCATGTAATTTCTGTATGTACCGGCGCATTCCTGGATATTACGAGGAGTGCCAAACGATCCAGAAAGAAGTTGATACAGTGCCATCCGCTCAGTAGCTGAGAGTGTACAAGCGTTCGGTGACAAAGGGTCGGCAGAAGTCTTGCGTGGCGATAAACCTAGTTCAGCCCCATCGGTTCTTAGATCTGGCACCGCTTGGGAAAGGGTGTGGAGTGGGGTTGTCTCGAACATTAATACCGGTGGGCCAGAATACGTGTAAGAGACCTCGTCTATCGCTTGTGTAAATGAATCAGACTCGTCAATGGTGCTAACCGCCATGTCAAATTCATGGTTGTTGTCCGTGTCGTTCGCAGGAAGGATGTCAGGTTGGAGGATTGGACTAAATGCGTGAGCCCATCCGAGATGAAGGACAAATGACTGCAGGTGGCAGGTGGTCGTCATGAGTGGATCGAACGGCGTATTTCCTTGGACGGCCAGGTCTGGCCTTCGTAACTCCACGAGGTTTATTAACTGAGGGCTTGGCCTCCTTGAGTTTCGATACCAAGTTCACAGTTGCTCTCTGCGACTCCTTTACAGGCGCTTGGCGCAAAGTGCGGAGGTTCGGCTTCGGCTGAGAAAAGAGATCACATATCAGCTATTTTCTTGATGATCTATTCAAATGTTCGAACCGATTGCGCCGGCACTAGAACAAAATCATTTGGCACGGTTGTGTTACCATTCTTATCTTCCTTGATCACGCGCAAGCCTCGGCTGTGAAAGTAATCATAGACATGCCTCCTGTCGATATTGTAACGTTCTTGCAGCTCTTTCCGGACAGCAAAGGACGGCATCTCGATGTTTCCAGGGTGTATCAGTGCCTCAAGATCACGGACAAGATCCGGCCCTAGTCGGAGAGCGAGGCTCTCAGGATTGACACGTCTTCTCTGGAATACAGTGCTAGCATTTTGAACAACGGAAGGGTTCTCCGTTCCCAAGTTGATCATATGACGGGGAGCCAGAACCATTGGGGCGCTGCCAGGTGGAGTGTGAAGAAGTATTTTGACGGGTAAAACGAGAATTGGTGGCTGTATCGGTATCGCATGGAGAGGCTGTTTCCATTTTGCTCGGAGAATAATTGTACAAGAAATGAGAAGGTTTCACGTTAACTTCAGGCAAAATCAACATCGCTGTGTTGGGATAGAAATCTTAAGTAGTCTTAGTATTCCGCGGAGTGTAAAAACTACATATACTGTTATTGTACAGCCACCATGTTCTCGGGTTAAAAGTACAAACTAGCTGCGAAGACGACTGTAATATATGTGAATTAGAGACGAACAAATCTCCAGAGTGGTCTTGACTTACTGTCCCTCTTGATTTTTACTTGAGCTTCTTCCAGTTTCTTGAACAGGTCCATGTCTCCAATCACCCGTGCAGCATCCCTGACTTCCCTACAAGTCTCATCTAATCGCGTTATAACCCTCACTATCGTACCTTCTTGAACGTCAGTCAAAGCCGTTATCTGGTCAAAGGGCTTTACAAATGGTCGACTCAGTTTTCGCCCCTTAGCAGTTACGCACGTTCGCTGACTCACCATGCCCTTCGCCCATTCGTATACTACTTCCATGAGACCGAATTTTAAGCTAGTCTTGAATTCCTCCGCTGAAACCTTGTGGCGGTCTTGCACACATTCTACGCCCCGACTGATCGTAAGAATTGCATCTCTGCCTTCCTCGAGTTTGGTCGGTACAACAGGTTCTACCTCTGTTTTTTCTTGAAAGACAAAGCAAGACAGAAGAGCAACCACTTCTTCCGGCTCATAGTTTGCTAGAGTATTCTCGAGTATAAGTTCAGTGAGAACAAGCTCATTTGCAGAGTTGATCTGAACTTCAGTGAGCCGACAATATAAGTCAGTGTAGCAGGACTATATCTGACCTCGCAGGCCACACGACCCTTCAGCTGGACAGTCGAATTTTCGTCGATAAACTTCAACTCCTTTAGAACCTCGATTCGTTGTTCATAGTCCGGGATAAGGTCGAGGTTCTGGTCAGAAATTGCCATTTTGAGTTTTTCGATATTGGTGCGCAGCGTCTTCTGACCATGGAGAATGAGATACTACTCGGCCCAGTCAGTTGAATGAAAACGTGAAAGTGACTTAAACTGACATGATCATGAAACTCGCCGCATAGTGTACACGAGAATTGGCGACGTTTGGCGAGGTCATTTCTGCTGTACCATGCCTCCTGGAAATCCAGCGTTCGTATGCGGTCCCAATTAACCTCCGGTATGGTTCTAGCAGTCCTCCATTTGTGGACAAGAATTTGTAGCGAGTTGATGATCTCAAGCATCAATGATTTCTTATGCTGATCGACGATTCCAGTTGGATCCACCTGTTTCGGCTTAGCGTTAGAGCTCCGAGTAAAAATGTTGCATACCTTCATAGTCTCTGAAGTTACCATAGAAATGCTGTCGAGAGGGACACTTCTTAGGTCATATGTGAGATTCTCGACTTCTAATGAAGTGGGATCCAGTGGCCATATCGGTGGTAGAGCTCGATCTTCGACATCTAGAATTTTAATGAACGGGATTCACGTGCTAGCGTATGCCATTAAATAGATACCTGTGTCACCTAATTTCGTTTCCTGGTCGACCATAGCCAGCACAAAAAATAGCTTGCCCGCGAATGAACTCGCTTGCCGTGGATCTGGTTTAAGCAAAACGCCGACGTTGCCTTGCCTAAAATGCTGGTTGTAGATGGGAGCTTGATCAGTAGTCATTAGGGTTGTGATTGGTAGATAACATACGCCGTCTCTTAAGATGACAACCCTCCCTGGACCAAGCAGGTTGGCATTTGAAGGGCTGGATGTCACCATAGTGTAAAGTTTATTATTTAACCTAACGATGTCAAGAGAAAGATCGTAATAGCGCTCGATGTCAACCGAGCATACATCACATTCGAGTTTAGGCATCTTAGAAAGTGTCCTCTCATGCTAATGATTATCGTAAGTCAACGGGTATGAAAAATGGAAGATACGAACATACCTCTGCAACTTGCTTTTGGTGTTCAGGAAGCAGTCTCTGCGAAGAATTTTCAGAAAAACTCCGTTTGATCATCTCCTCCACACGTAGTGCCTCCACACGAAGCAAGTTTAGTATCATATTATAGGTGAGCCTGAACTGCGACTGCAATTTTCCGGGTGTGCCGAGCATCATCTTCAAGAGAGATGTTTGCTGTAAAGCAAGGATATTGGTAAAGTGTGCCTAAATAATCAACAGTGAACTTACCTCAGGAAGATTGTCACCTGCAACAATGATCACCGTTCCAGTAGGGTCCAGACCTCGCCGTCCAGCACGACCTGCCATTTGGGTATATTCGCCAGGTAGTATGTCCCTGAAGCTGCGCCCATCATGCTTCCGTATGTTAGAGAACACAACGCATCTTGCGGGCATATTAACGCCCTGCATGCGCCATCAGGATTCCCTTGCCGATAACACATGATGAGAAGCGCACCATCGCAAAGGTTTCTGTGGCAAACAAAACTTTGACAAGCCCACGTGCAAACAATATCTCTACGACCTGTCAGCGGCGCGTGAGTCGTGATTACAGCCATGTGTGAAGTCTTCAGACCTCCTTGACAATGGGCAACAAACCACCATGATGGACGCCGATTCCTCGTGATAGTAGATCTCTCATCCTAGCTATCTGCGGAAGCTTCTTGTCCGAACCTAGGATGTAAATTAACGCAGTCAGTGAAGTCATTTACGCGTTACGCCTACCCTTTAGTCGTGCAAGGGCCTTTTCAACAGCGACATGCACCTCACTCTTCTCCACAGATGTGCACAGATCTGAATTGGTAAGAGTCGCAGCATTTTCTTCGCAACGCTTCTTTGACAAGGTAAACACGACGACAGGAAGAAGCCCCTTTTTCTGAAGATGATTTAGTAGGTGCACGTAGAGATTCTTGTCTGCCCCAGTGTGAATGGTCCTAGACTGTCCGCCGCCACGCCCGCGGGGTGCGGACCCACTCGGGGCTGCGCCGCGTTGACCACCGCGTGCTGGTGCTGCGCCACGCTGCACACCTCTTGCAGCGCCTCGAGCACCGACACGCTGTACAGGAGGTAGACCTGCAGCTTCTCGTTCCTTGTCCTGTTTCCTTCTGAGAGCATCGCCAGCATCCTGGTACCTAGAGTCGTAGCGTCAGGGAGCGTAATATCCAATCGATTGTCATGGTACCCCCGTGCAACCCAATTCCTAGATGCATCGACGATCTTGAATGTGTCCCTGCCGGCGTAAAGATAATGTTCAAGGGGCACAGGTCTTTGCGCCGTGGAAATTACATAGATGTCCTTCTTCTTGGTTCGCCTTTGTAAATTCACAGGATAATAGTCAAAGCCTTTCCAGTGCAAGCGTCGCATTTTACTCACCCTACCCAGTCCGCAAACTCTTTGCTGTTAGGAACAGTTGCTGATAGCAGGATGATATTGACATGATCAGGTAACATGATGATCACTTCCTCCCAGACGACACCTCTCTGCCAAACTCTAAGCAAAGTAAGTTCGGGTATAATGCAGGCACCGTACCTCTGCATCATTCACGTAATGCACCTCGTCAAAGATCACAAATTCGACATCGCGAATCAGATCAGCACCCTTGTACAGCATGCTTCGCAGGATTTCAGTCGTCATCACCAGACAGCTCGCCTCAGGATTGATCTGCACATCCCCTGTAAGTATGCCGACAGATGATGACGAGAAAGTTTGTTTGAAGTCTCGAAATTTCTGGTTTGACAGCGCTTTGATTGGCGACGTGTATATGGCGCTAGAAAATAACTTGAAGTGCTGACATGCTATATAAAGAACACGACAAACCGTGTCATATGTTTCTCAGCAAGAGCGATGGCGTATTCGGCAACGACAGTTTTCCCAGCGGAAGTATGCGCAGCAACAAAGACTGAATCTCCCATTTCGAGGTGATACACTGCTTCTTTCTGGAAAGTATCCAATTCGAAAGGATACTGTGCTAGATCATGAGATTTTGAGTCATGAAAAGAACGATGACTGACTTTGTGAGCCATATCCGGCACAAGTTCATGGAAGTTGGTCATAGGCTTATTGATATCAACCACATGTGCCCAGTCGCGTTTGACTACATTGGGTTTCCTAGTCCGTCGGGGAGCCGTTGATGGCCGTAGATGTGTCCGCTGGAAGTGTATTATTTGAGTATCAATTGATCCCGTACGACAAGGTCCTCACCGTTGTTGGTAAGAGCTCGTCAATTTCTCCCAAACTATCACCATTGGGTAAGATATCTCTTTCGTCATCCAGCACGCAACTTTCATCATTGTGCTGAGTGACATGTGCTGAGCAAATATACGATACATACGAGAATGACAAATATACCTTGTCCTCGTTGTAATCAATAGTATCGTCGAGAGAGGTAAGCGCATCGTCTTCCGGATCGTCACCCGAAAGTCGCAATCCTCTCGAAAACCCCGGTGGGACAGTTCGCAACCCTTTGATGGGCACTGCTGTGGTCTGTTTTGCTGCCAGAATCACGTCGTCAAGTCCACCAGGTTTGAAAGGAAAATGACTGGATTTTCCCCTGACAAAGTTGGCGACTGAAGCAGGAGCACGATCCATAGATGTCGATGTGAGCGCTGTCGAAACCACTGCATTTGGCGTCTTGGACGAGTTTACAGTACGAAATGTGGGAGAATAACCAAGGGCTCACTTCTGCATAACCAATGACACGTCCTTCGAGACCCGCACGCAGGAAAGTCAGACTGGTCGGCGGTGGAGAGGGTTCGGAGGTCAAGAGTGACTGTATAGAAATCTCGGGTTGCCATGTTCTGAGGTGAAAGAAATCAAATTTGCTGGTTCTAAAGCATATACAGAGCGTGCACGTACATTTGATATGTCGGAAGCCAGTGTTCGGGTATCCTGTCTGGTGGAAGGAGTAACTTGGCTTCAATTTCTTGGTGGACCTTGTCTCGAGTAGGGAAACCAGCAACTCCGAGACCTTCTAATATCTGATCTGCATCCTCTCGCCGAGGGCTCAATATTTGATCCATGACATGTTCGTGATTATCTGGCATAGTCTTAGCCATCCGTTCTGCAGCAGTGCTATACAGTTTTAAATGATCAAACTCGATTAAGACATTGAAGGATCTGTGGCTGTGTTGGAAATTATGCATTATCACACTTCACACTGATGCCAATACTGAGTACCAGTAGATCCTGGCCAGGTCACAGATTCCTCCCATAATAATTATATCGTTCCCTGCGGAGAAAGTCAAATGTTTGATTGACTATTACTATCCTTATGTTTTGGTGCCGTCTAACGATCGTACTCAAGGATAATATTGCAGCTCAAACGCGGCAAAAGCCTCAGCGGTTCAATGTCAACAGAGTCGAGCTACTCGATTGAGAGGAATTTAAGCCTACCAGGTAGTAACGCTACGAAAACACACTGGCAAAAACGAATGCTATACTTGAAACAATGTAGGCTGCATGTTCTATGTAACGCTCATTCAGCAACAGTGAATAAGGCATTCAACGATCAAGCGTACCATCTTACACAATCGAGCCAGCAAACCGCTCAACTGGATGATAGTGCCCACACCTTCAAGTATGCGCATATGCGTGAAGCCAATTTCCTGATGGTATGATCCGTTAAAACACTCGTGACATGCAGGGACACTTCCTCTAACCTTGATAAATTCAAGCTTCAGATACTCGGGTAGTCTGACAAGAGAGATATTCTCAGCGCTGGCGATAACTCAGTAGGCTAGGACTGACTCATCGAATGTCTTTGTCACTCTGAAGATTGTGACCACGATGTCAACAGCGCTGTAGCCTTGCTCCCAGAGCTCATTTAGTTTCTCCATCGCAGCATCAATATCACCCTTCAAGCATAATCGGATCATGCTTTGTACGATGACAGGATGGGGCTGGTCGCAAACTTTGAAAACATTTTCGCCAGATACGAAAGCGAAACCGGAGTGCGTTGACTGAAGGTTATTGATTGCTTGACGCATATCACCTTCGCATGTGAAGATGAGAGCAGTCAGACCATCATCATTGTATTCGACCTAAGTCAATAGCAGGTTTGGTTAGTAAGAATATGACAAGCACAGTAATTAGATTTCACCTTCTCCATTTCGCATATTTCTAACAACCTTTTCAGAATTTCGGTGTCTCTGAGCTTTGCATATCGTAGGATGGCACACCGACTCTGTATTGGTTCGATTATTTTGTTAGACATGTTACATGCCAGGCAAAAGCGAGTTGTGTTCGAGTAAATTTCCATCGTTCTTCTTAGCGCTTGCTGTGCACCACCGGTCATACTGTACAACGGATTGAGTGTCACCAAGACGTAACTTCGTCAATTTTTGCACCTGTCAGCCTCGTCCAGAATCACAATCTTATGGCGCCCAGGAGGAAGGGTGACCTTCTTCTGTGCAAAGGCCTTTATTTTATTCCGTACGACATCAATTCCTCTAGGGGCAGGTCAAAGCAAGAAATACATCAAAGATTAGAGCTGCAAACCTCTCATCGGAAGCGTTTAGTTCGAGAACACCCTCTTTGTATGCATCCCCGAGTAACTGATGCGCTAGACAATGTATACTCGTTGTTTTTCCGATACCCGGTAGACCCTACAATGGCATTTGCATCAAGAAAGGGGATTCAATTGTATCAAAACGCACCGATATAATAATATGAGGGCAATTTCCATCCTTTGCAATGACCTTCAGCCTTTCAATAGTATCAATATTTCCGACCACATCGTCCAAGCTCTGTGGCCTATACTTTTCCACCCTACCAATTCTTAGTCACAGCAACCATATAGAAGCCGAATCACGAACCACGGTAGTTCATAGCCTGAACTTGCAGCGGCATTAGCTGGTGCCTTCCCTGATGAAGCCATGAGTGAGGCGCGACGCGTGACGCTGTGACATGGCATGTCTGTGACAAGGTGTGACCATACGCGTTTATTCCATTTTGCGTTTGGGCTTAATGTCCTCTTCGTTGCTGCCTTCTCTCAGTCATTGCTGTCAACGTCAACGCTTCAATATCGTGTTGCAGCATGGTGAGTAGAGCATAATATTTGGAGTCAATTCTTACAGTATATACTTGCAGGTTTCAGAGGGTCCCGTTTTCTGTCGATGAAGGTCCCAGAGGTGCTCTCTGTGACAACAGACCTTCCTAAACCACGCCTCGACTACCGCGCTATTTCAGAGTCGATAGTGTACAAGTCTCACAACGCCTTCAATCGCAAGGCTCCACTTCCGATTGGTGCATTGCAGTCGGTCGTGCGCCATTACGATGAACAGAAGAGACTCTCCAGCGAGTTAGGCTCGAAGCGCCACGCACGCTCGAACTTAGGCGAAAAGATGCGACAGATCAAAGATCCAATTGAGAAGCAGGTTGTCTTGAAGGAGGCTAAACTTCTCAAGGCGGAGGTCACAGACCTGGAGAAGCAACTTGTGACAGTGGAGGACATTTTACTGGGGCTTGCATTGCAGATACCGAATGACACACATCCTGATGTACCACTAGGTCCAGAGGAAGCTGCTGTGGTACTTTCCACTCATGGACCGGATCCCATTGCCGCCAGTGGCAATCGTGACCACATGGATATTGGTCGCGCTCTTGGTATCCTTGACTTCGAAGCGGGGGCGACCGTCACGGGTTCATCATGGTATTATCTGCTAGGAGAGGCTGCACTCTTGGAGATGGCTCTGACCAACTATGCCCTCTCAATTGCTCTTAAACACGGATTTCGATTCGTCACGACGCCGGACGTCGTTCGGGCAGACATTGCCCTACGATGTGGATTCCAACCTAGAGATCACAATGCTGATCCACCTGTTTCGCAAATGTATCATATTGCATCTTCGAATCCTTCTCATCCCGAACTCGTACTTTCTGGCACCGCAGAAATACCGCTTGGCGGTATGTTCGCAAATCAAATATTCACGGAGCAAGCTTTGCCTTTGAAAGTGGTCGGTCTTGGCCGTTCATTCAGAGCTGAGGCAGGTGCCCGTGGCGCAGACACTCGTGGACTGTACCGAGTTCACCAATTCTCGAAGCTTGAGCTTTTCGTTGTTTGTAGTGAAGACGCGAGTGAACAAATGATGGAAGAACTTCGTAGTGTGCAAACCGAAATTTTTGAAGGCCTAAATTTTCCGTTTCGGTAAGTAACAACATCAGACCGAGGCCCCTACTCTGACATTATGACCCAAGGGTTTTGGATATGCCTACCGAAGAATTAGGTGCTAGCGCGTACCGCAAATATGATATGGAAGCGTGGATGCCAGGTCGAGGGAGTTGGGGAGAAATCTCTTCCGCATCTAATTGTACTGATTACCAGGCCCGTCGTCTCCACATCCGCTACCGTCGATCGTCAGGTACGCACAGGCACAGCACACCAGCGTCCTCATCCGCTTCGACTCAGTCAGCACCTGCGATACCATTCGCCCACACTTTAAATGGCACCGCAGCTGCCATTCCTCGTCTGGTCGTTGCTCTTATAGAGAACGGTGCATGGTTCGACGAAGAAGGCAAGCCAATGGGTCTTGATCTACCCAGCACTTTGAAGCCTTTCTGGCATGGTACATCTTCGATCATACGGTGGACTTGAACATGGGATGTTGGCGCGCTATTTGTTGTCATTGTCAAGACGAAGGTACAGAACTTTGACAAACGATCTGACGTTCTGACTGTGTGTAATCTAGGGAACTCAAAAGAAATAACCCTTGTCTGATTGACTGGTACCTTCAGGCAGTTGAGACGAGTCCGCCAAGCTTCCAAGTTCGTTAGGATGTATATGTAGGTAGCTGCACAGGCAGCTCTGGTACTTCAATGAAGCGTTGCGTTTTGCCAAAGAGATAACGGTTCGGCCTTAGGGGGAAAAACGCGCACATGTCATAACCTATTTTTGCTCCAGAATACCTAGGCTTGACCCATTTTCAGCCATGGCCAACGATCCATGATACATATGGTACAACTGCTACTCAGCTATGAACTATGCTACCTCGCTGCCCAGCGTATCTTGTAAAAAAAATTACTGCAGAAAGGTCACCTGGCTTCGCTTCATCATTCCTCAGACCGTTGTATATTCGATCCACCCATCGAACGAGGCTAGCTGCGTCATATCTACCAGTTGGTGCTTCCAGGAGATCGAGAGTATATGTGACAATGCCGGGCAGTGACTCCACTGTTTCGTCCGTGACCTACCTGCACTATCGAGCAATGTGACGTCGTACAAAGAACTTACTCGACATTTTGATATAAGCATCTACCGCTGGCCCAGCTACGCCCGTTTCGATATTACTGGCGCGGCAAACAAAGCTTTCCAATTGGGGTTCTCTTTACTTCCCTTGTCAAGATATTCTGCGAGAATAGCAGCACTGGCGCTGCTTAGAAATCCTTCGACGATAACTAGTGCCATGGGACCGTCAGCCATTAATTTGCTCCACTTACGCATTCCAGTGCAACTAAACGGTCCATGGAGAATAAAGCACCGTACAATTGACGCTGCAGGGGAGATGCATCGTTCCAAATCAGTAGTGGTTGGTGTTAACAAGATGATATCTTTCATCATGATGAAAGAAAAGTCCATATCATCTATATCATAATCTATCAACTTTGGCTGATATTCAGCTTGCGTGTGATGAACTATACTGCCCTATTTCCCAGCGCATCCTGTAGGCGTTTAACTGCTAATTTCGTCTTATCATCATCGAGCGCCTCGTATATCCGATCCACCAATCAAACAAAACTCCCCTCATCATCGAGCATTCGGTGTTTCCAGAAGATCGAGAGTGTACGTGACAATGCTGGGCAGTGCCTCAATGCTTCTGCCTCAAGGTGGAGGTCATTCCAACGCATCGCCCACCATGCTCTGTTGAGCAGCTTCCACCACTCCTGCTCGAATATATTGTCCGGAAAGCCCGGTGAAGTAGGAGCCTCTGGGGCTGCGTGCAGTGTGGCTGCAAGGTCTGTAGTGGGACGACATTCTTCCTCGTTCGTAGGTTCCGAGTCCAGAGCAGAGGCCAGGGTAGCCCCCCTCAACGAGCTTCGATAACCCCCCGAGAGGTTCATCCGTATCAATATGGCTGCAAGATAGTAAGGGTGAGATGGGACAGATAATATTGATGGATTGTTCTTGATGACGTGGTCCAGCAGAGATGTGCATCGCTCTATGTGACCAGCTCTCTCTAAATGAGCACACCAATCACTTTGCTTTGCCAGAGTGAAAATGAGTCGTAGATAGTAGTCGTCACGTCTGGGATCAAAGAGGACGTCCAATTCATCATCAAGATGCTGTGGTGCGATAGGTTTGGCTGCAGCGAACAGAGTTGGCGCGAGTTCCTTTAATTACTTCTCTAGAAATTCTCCCTCCTCTTTGTCAACTATCTCCACTAGTTTCAAACGAGCATCGAATACAGCTCGAAGGGCTGCGTGACGAAGCCGGGATGGTTTATCTGCTTCCATTGCGAAGATGATGGCGTCAAGGTATCTATCTCGTCGGGTGACACTTCCCAGACCCCGCATGGCACTCAATGCGAGCAGCGCATCTCCCATGGTATCGAAGTCCCTCGTTTGGGACATCCGGAAATGTACCAGGAAATCCACGAGCCAATCAAAGTCTTCTGTAGTACGCCGGTCGTCCTTCCAGTCAAAAACACCGTCCTACACTAATGCAACATCGGTTGATTCCAAAAATCCTGGGCAGCCAGTCACGATAGCGAGTTGCAAGGAGATGTATGTATTGTCTGTATAATCTGTTTCGAAAGTTGTGGCGTACTGAGTAAAAGATTCTTTACATCTCTCAAATCCCCAGGGAAGACTGAGATGACACCAATCAGTCCAATCATCGAAGTGCATGAAATCGAGGGAATGACGGTCTCGATATGTTCATTGCATACGAGATGGTGCAAGGCTCTCCCGCACGCAAGAGCTCTTCAACGTACCGAATTACTGAGCAGGGCATCAGCATGAAAGCATGCCGAAAAAGTAGCAGCAATTGCGAACATGCAGCTGTCATGTTCACCTCAGGGGTCCATCTGATGGTCGGTAGCAGCCAAGCAGCCGAACTGATCACCTCTGGATCTGTGGAAGTGTTGAATATCCACCTCATCGATCGTGCCACGGAGGACATCTCCTGACTCTCCTTGAGCTCTCCAGGGGTCGTATGATGGATACATCTCCTTGCTTCCTTTCCAGCCCACCGCAACTTGGACTTGGAGACGCCTCCAAATGAAGCGAAGGAATGTTGAAGTAGGAGTTTGAAAAGGACATTGCGGGTGTTTCAAAGAGGCGACGACAATGGATACGTAGATAAAGCCTGAGGCGCTGTAGGGTATCAGTCAGCGTGTTTACTATCGCCTGGATTAACATGTTTGAGAAGGTGCTATGCAGGTCCAGTCACAGATGTCATGGAATGTCCGATACTCTGGGCCATTGGCTATCATGTACAGTGTGTAAGTATCAGTCGCTGGTCGATCCTGTTTGGACCAAGTTTGAACTGACTTACAGCGCAACTTGAGTGTAAGTCAAGTCCATTTAAGGCAGCTTAAGTAAGCCGCAGGGAAGATGAATTTATTTCGTTTCAAACGTTGAACCAGTGTGATTGGTGTTAACTTGATTTTCCACCATGAAAGAGACCATACCTCTATTAGTCAAAATCAAAATCTATCACACAATCAAATATCACGATCATTTAGTACTTCAAGAGTACTTACCATGCACAACTTTAAGCGCGAGAGCTGACTCGTATTTCCAAATGAATAACCAACCCCTGAGTTACTTGTCTATAACAAGTGATAAAATTACAACAAAGGATATACATTCTATTTAAACGATTTGCATAGGAAAGTGATACTGTACACCGTCTGATATTCAGCTTGCGTGTGATGCATGTGATAAACGAAGATTATTTCACAGTGCATCCCGTAGGCGTTTCACTTCCAACTTCGCTTCACCATCACCAAGCGCCCAGTATATCCAATTCACCGGTAGGACGAGACTCACCGTGTCATATCGAGCAGTCGGTGTTTCCAGGAGTTCGAGAGTGTACGTGACAATGCCAGGCAGTGCCTCAACTGCTTCTTCCTCGAGGTGGAGGTCATTCCAACGCATTGCCCACAATGCTTCTTTGAGTAGCTTCCACCATTTCTTCTCAGATATATTGTCCGGAAAGCTTGGCAGAGTAAGAGCCTCTGGGGCTGCGGGCAGTGTGGCTGCAAGGTTTGTAGTGTGACGGCATTCTTTCTTGTTCGTAGATTCAGATTCCAGAGTAGAGGCCTGGGTAGCCCGCCCCAACGAGCTTCGATCACCCCCCGAGGGGTTCATCCGTATCAATATGGCTGCAAGATAGTAAGAATGAGATGCAGATAATTTCGGGTTCTCGATGACGTGGTCTAGCAGAGATGTGCATCGCTCTATGTGACCGGCTCTCTCTAAATGAGTACGCCAATCACTTTGCTTTGCCAGAGTGAAAATTAGTCGTAGATAGCAGTCGTCACGTCTGGGATTAAAGACAGCGTCCGGTTCATCATCAGATAGCTGTGGCGCGATAGGTCTGGTTGCGGTGAACAGAGCTGGCGCGAGTTCCTTCAATAACTTCTCCCGAAATTCTCCCTCCTCCTCCTGGTCAACTATCTCCACTAGTTTGAGACGGGCATCGAATATAGCTCGAAGGGCTGCGTGACGAAGCCGGGATGGTTTATCTGCTTCCATAGCAAAAACGATGGCGTCAAGGTAACTATCTCGTCTGGTGATACTTCCCAGACCCTGCATGGCACTCAATGCGAGCAGCGCGTCTCCCATGGCATCGAAATTCCTCGTTTCGGACTTCCGGAGTTGTACCAGGAAGTCCACGAGCCAATCAAAGCCTTCTGCAGTACGCGAGTCGTCCTTCCAGTCGAAAGCACCATCCCAGATCAATGCAGTATCGGTTGGCTGCAAAAATCCTGGGCAGCCAGTCACGATGGCCAGGCGTAAGGAATCACGTGCTTTATCTTCATGATTTTTATCTAGAGCTGCGGTGTATTTCTTTTTTTTGGCAAAAGCTTCTTTACACCTCTCAAGTCCCCAACGAAGACTGAGATGACGCCAATCAGTCCAATCCTCAAAGCGCATGAAATCCGAGGGAATGACGGTCTCGAGGGTGTTGTTGCATACGAGATGGTGTAAGGCTCTCCCGCACGCAAGAGCTCTTTGGCGTGCCGAATGACTGAGCAGGGCATCAGCATAAAAGCACGCCGCGAAGGTTTGTAGTAATCGTGCGTGTGTAGCTGGTATGTCCACCATCTGGTGGATGCATTTGATGGTCGGCAGCAGCCAAGCAGCCGAAGTAATCATCTCTGGATCTGCAGAAGTGTTGAATATCCACTTCATCGATTGTGCCACGGACAGCGTCTTCTGACTCTCCATGAACTTTCCAGGGCCGTATGATGAATACGTCTCCTTGCTCTTTTTCCATCCTGCGACTCCGACTGGGATGCGCCTCCCAATGAAACGAAGGAATACTGAAGTAGGGGTTTGAAAGGGACATCGCGGAAATTTTAAGGAGGCGAAGACAATGAATATGTAAAAAAATAAGCCGAACGCCATTAACACGATAATAGCGATTGCCGTAGCTCCTTGATGGTCCCATACGAAGGCTGAGAGAGCGATCCCAAATAGAAAGAACGAAATTTGCAGTAACATAAGAAATGATAGCAGCACATCGTGGAAGTGCCATGCTTCCAAACCGTCTAACTTTTCTTGTCTGTCCTCTCCACGAGCGTTCAATTTGTAATGGCTGAGCCACTGTTTACCGAGGACAGCCCCAAAAGCGGCCAGAAGGTTGAGCGACAATGCAATGTATGCCAAGGTCTGAAACCAGATAGTATTTGGCGAGTTTGCTGCTGAGGCAGCGAAAGGTGAGATGGTGGTATTGAGTGATGTGTTCTGAACGAGCTGCCACAACAAGGGGATCGTGGGGTTGCGTTGCATGGTAATAATGAAGGCGGTATTGACACCAGAGAAGAGACCAGACTACGATTTTGTTAGCCAGATATATGCTCCAAAATTGTTCGGTAGCTTACCGAAAGGAGTATGACGTCCATGTCGCTGTTGTTCCGCTCTAGAAACTCACGATCGTACTCTGTTGCAGCCTGTTTATAAGACGTCCAGAACCTGTCAATTACGAACTCATTGTTCTGTGGTGGCCCCTGAGATTCATGAGTCGAGTGGTGTACGGATACACCATTCTGGACATGCAAGGAGTCTTGCTGCAGTGTTGTGGCCATCAGCACGGGAGAATCGCGTTTTTATCACCAAGCGCTGGTAGAACAGTGTGCAAAACCACGATGGAGACGAAGGCCGCTGAGTGGTTTGCAAAAGCAGCATGCACATAAATATGCTGCTGCTACGGCTCGGTAGGTTCAATAGGCTGTAACGCGGTTTCAGATTGAAACATGAGGCTCAAGAACCAGATGGAAAAGAGCTCTTTTACGTCCTGGCGTAGCTTTTCGCCTTTATTGACACTGTCGAGCGCTCTTCACATGCGCCCATGACGTTCGGCCTCACAAAGAGCGACAGACCCGGTCAGAGAAGTTGAATTTATAAGGCCATGGGTCACCGAGTGTGCGGATCCTAGAAATGGGGCATCCAATGAGGACGGGAGCCCGTTCGAAAGATAAAGCCTGAGGCGCCGTAGGGTATCGGTCAACGTGTTTACTAGCGCCTGGGTGGATATTTTTGACGAGATACCATGCAGGTTCAGTCGCAGATGTTGTGTGTCCGATACTCTAGGCCCTTGGCTATCATATAGATGAGCGGTAGGCGACCGATGCCTGTACTACAGTTCGTAGTCCAAATATAATATAAGTCCATCACCAGTCACTAGCATAAGTTCGGTCAGGAGACGTGTTCAATTTTACGCTGAACACCTTCACTCACACATAATTTCCGATGTCTTGGCTTCAGGCTGCGGCAGTACCACTAGAGGAGATACGAAGGCTGCTGAGTGGTTGGTAAAACTTGTTACACGTGACATATATTCAGCTTGCCGCTGTTGCAGCTCGTCGGTAGATGTGACAGGCCGTAGTTTCGAACTAGATCGATACTACCTTGGCAATGCCACAGCCGCAGAAACGGACAGACTCACTTGCCAGGGCCCAGAAAAATTCCTTCAAGATTCCACCCACGTATTGGTGTGGCCGAGCGCTCTCCAAACGGCCTCGTGGCGTTTAGTATAACAAAGACTTCGACTTCGACTTCGACAAAGAAATCACATTTTATGAGGCTATGTAGTATGGCTCCTGGTTGAATAGGGTGTTCGGGTCCCTGACATTCCTCGGGAATATGGATCTAGGCAAACATGAGGCATCCAACGAGGATAGAGACAAAGGGCCTTCAATCATCGTTCGAAAGAGAAAGGCCATCGATGCTGTTCACTACCTCCTGAAAGTTTGACCTGCTGTTTGGATGCCTAAAATTAGGGTCTTTTCCATCAGTCACGATGGACCGGAAATGTAGTGACTCACATACAGTGTTCCATGGCTCACTTCTTAAGACACGTCGTGCATGATGCATGGAATATGTATTGATACGATAGAACGCGTGGTTTTGGATGTAGTTACTGCGATCAGGCAAGAAAATTCTAGTGGATTGTCAAGAACGAGTGCTGGATCCAGCGAGGTTTCTAATGGACCTCCCCTAAACACAATATCCGCATATATAACCCCGCAGCCCTTCTCTTCCTTTCTTTCGGGAAACCAGTACTGCTATACTCGTGACCCCACCTTTGCGAGACGAACTTGGTTGCCAGTGGCAGTGCCAGTAAGCTGATTTCCTCAACATGTTGGCGATTTATCGTTCTCAATATGATGTACAGGGTGACTCGAGCTAATTCCATTTCTGCCGACGTGGTAGTTGTGGTTTGCCTTCCCAGTTTTGTCTCAACAACGTTGAGCTGGTGGCCTGGCAACTTGAAGGGGAAGAGGTGAGCTTTCTCTTAGAAACGATCATCAAACATGATCTGATAATCGCAGTCGTATATCATATAGGCTCTTTCCTTGTGAAAGTTTTGGGTCCTTCGAGAATTTCTCCAAGGCACCGGAACTTATTCGGTACGTCACTCGTTCTTAGTTTTCGATCTATTGCTTAGTAGTTCTGGCAGACGGCGTTGATTACGGACCCCGTGCCTATTCCATACTCCATGATCACCTGGCCTGCGCGGTTTGCTGAGATGCATCCATGTACTCGCCTAAGAACTCATCGAGATGATTGCAGCATTTGTGTAGTCCAAATCGATTCTGTTAATGTCTCAAATTAAATAACCCAGGACGAAAGTCTCAGTCTCTTGACCGAGCCTACGTATCATTTGTCAAGTCGTGTTATGTAGTAGTTACGTTGAATTGAAATAGTTGACTCATCGCACCCGTGATAAGAACGCCACTAGCTTCCAAGGTTAACGTTGAACAAAACAAATTATTTAATTCCAGTCACACATAGAAACGATTTCAACTTCAACGAATTTCATCTGTCTGTCATGATTACAAATATCCTCTCCTCCACTCGACTCCAAAAATCCAATCGTGGCGCCCTCTTCCGTCCGCGCACCTCCACAAAACTAAGGCAACAAACCACCAAAGTCTACGTAAAGGGGAGAACAGAAGGACACAATGTTGATGCAAGGGGGAATGTGATAAGTGATAAGAAAAACCAAGGGGAGAAATATGACAAAAAGATATCCAACGAGCGTGTGTAGCCTCAGCGGGGAATCTATGATCATGAACGGTGACGGTGCAAGGGAAATGAAGAAAAAAAGTTCTGCGAGTTCAAATGGCTTGGAACAGGATTATGGATTGGGAAACATGGGGGGTTCAATAAGAGAACCATCAACGGGCGCTAATGGGAAGACACATATCAAGCGGGTAAGGAAGTAGGCGGTCGTCTTCTTCGCATCCTTGCATACACGCAGGGAAGCTCAGAAGCGACGTGAAGAGAAATAGCGTCCGTACAATACATAAGGGGAGGCAAGTGTGTGATCTTCATCGACGGCGTGACGAGTCGCAGATATACTCGAAATGCGATGCGATCAAGGAATGCAAAGTGACTGCGGCGTAGGGCATGAATGCGAGATGTCGGAATCGAACGCGTCGTGATGAAAGACGTAAAAGCAGACCAGTCCAAGTTGACCTGGCGTGCCCTCACCGTGACGTTTCGACCTCGTAACCCGCGAGATGACCCAACCGGACTTGTAAAACCGCGACAGACCATCTATTGACACCATATCCAACAGCGACCGAGCTACACCTGCACCTTCCCTCCACCCCCGTTCTCGGTCGCACTCGGGGCGTGCCCTGCACATGAAAAACAAACCAAGAGGAAGTATGATGCGATTACCAGGCGTCTTCCCTCCCACGAGGACGGGACTGAGCCACAGCAGGAGCAGCAGCACCTGCCTGCTGCTGACGCGTGTGAGAACGAAGCCTATAAAGAAAGTTAGGACCGTAGCAAGGCAAAAGATTGAAAGAAATGTGACGGGCACCTACATCCTGTCGCTTGCACGGTGTTCTTCTTCCTCTTGAACGACCTTTCGCCTGCCAGTAGCGGCCTTTTGGCTGGTGCTGGCGCCGTCGTCTTGGGCGCCACGCTGCACAGACCAGTCGAAGACGTAGTCATACTGGAAGCCCTCGCGAACGAAAAGGTCGCGGAAGAGCTTGCGGAGGTAAGAATAATCAGGCTTGTCATCAAAGCGAAGTGCGCGAGTGTAGTTCAAGAAAATGCCGAACTCGTTGGGGAAGCCGCGGCAAAGGATATCGGTGGGAGTAGTCATCTTCTTCTCCATGATCCTGTCATATTTCTGCTTCTTAGTGGCAGCCTTGAGTCCCTGCCAAGGAAGGGCGCCGCGTAAGAAGTACATCAGGACGTAGGCGAGTGATTCAAGGTCGTCGCGACGAGCCTGCTCAACCCCCAAATGGGTGTTGATTGAGGTGTAGCGAGCGGTACCGGTCAAGTTCTTATTTTCCCTGTATGGGATGTGCAAGTGGGTCTTTGGGTCACGGAATTTCTTCGCGAGACCAAAGTCGATGACATTGACTTGATTGCCACGCTTGCCTATGCCCATGAGAAAGTTGTCTGGCTTGATGTCCCGGTGAATGAAGTTGCGTGAGTGGATGTACTCGATACGGGATATCTGTGGCGATACAGTGGCGGGTTAGTCCTCACAGACAGTGACTACGGTGGGATTTCTACTCACGAGTTGGTCTGCGAGGAGCAAGACAGTCTTGAGGGTGAATTTGCGGTTGCAAAAATTGAAAAGGTCTTCTAAAGAGGGTCCAAGAAGGTCCAAGACCATGGCATTGTAATCACACTCAGTGCCAAACCAGCGCACGAAAGGAACACCGACACCGCCGGCAAGGGTTTTGTATACCTTTGACTCGTACTCGAGCTGGGGGTGCTTTGCCTTTACTGACTCAAGTTTGATAGCGACCTCCTCGCCAGAGATGATGTTGATCCCGAGATAGATATCACCTGTCATAATGAGTAAAAACGGGAGCATATAAAGATGTTGTGAACTGACCGAAGGAACCTGAGCCAATCTTCTTGCCGAGCCTGTATTTCCCACCGACACGAAGGTCAAGTCGGTGTGCTGAGTTGTCTGCCATTGTTCGTTACGAGGGTGTAAGATGGAACGGGGACTGATGAAAAGAAGTCGAGTGAGTATGGGGGTTTAATGGAGACTAGAAGAAATTGAGAAGCAGATTAAATAGTGAAGAAGGGCAGGTTATAGTGTGTTCCGGGTCGTGGCAATTACGGTTGTATCGGAGGTGGCTGACGTTGAACTAGGAAGTGCGGGAAACACATGGGAGAGCTAATCGCTTATGAAAAGGAAAGAAAAGAAAGGGCTCCGAGGGTTCTTGATGGTGATAGGGAACCAGACAAGTTATCCAGGCTTTCAACTTGACCTGGTGTAATGTCAAGGCCAACGTGGGAGCCTCGAGGCCGCTCATTATAGCGACCAAACGACATGGAAATTTACTTGAAAAACAGTTAAACCAGACAACTCACCGTAAGTCTTGGGCTGAACTTTGAAGACTACTGTGACGGTGATAGTTTGAGAGAGATAAGAACGCAACAGAGCTACGTAGAGGAGAGAAAACAAACAAGTGGAGGTCCGTGGGAACCGGAGTTTAAATTGGTCAGAGGTCCAACTCGGCTGCCTTACTTCGAACATCCATTGTCGTTGCCCCAGTACCCTTGACCCCCAAATACGGTGAGCTACCCGTGTGCCGTACAGTGGTGTGCATAAAACAATGATCATTCAGATTGCTGTAATATCCTTGTGATCAAGCTTAAAGCCGCTTGTTCTACTTGATCCATTTCATCACAATGTGACGATTCATATACTACGTGTGCAATTGGCATAGCTATTCTTTTTTTTTCTCAGCAGAAGCAGAACGCCGTCCCGTGCCAGCGTGATACGTGACGGTGTAAGCAATGTACATCAAGTCAGATCTGACACGACCCTTGGATGGAACGTTTGATTGTACCTTTCCCCGTCGTGTGATATGACCTTCTAGCAGAATGACCTGCTCTTCACCACAGTTCGGATGTGATAATATAACACGCTAGACTATGTAGTCCTTTAGCTAAACTTTGTGTAATATCACTAGGGTAAATGATCTTGTTGCACTTTGCGGTACAAGATCTCGGAATGGCTTCCTTTTATGGCTGCCATATCAATTTTGATTATTGTCGAGTGGTCCACGGTTGTGAGACCAGCGCCATCTTCCTCCTCAACCGCATCGACAGTACTTTTCGACAAAGTCCCTATCTTCCGCCTAGGATCCTCCAGTCATTCATTTTACTCTCTAAATCTCTCTCTTTCAATCGCAACATTCGTTTTGTGCGACTAGCAATCGAATTTGTATAGCAGCCATAGACTATCGCCTCTTCGTGTCCGCAAAAGATTATAGTAAAACATGGCATACCGCCAGCAAGATCCCTACTATGATTCTGCACAGAGTGCACCAACTCACCCAGGTTTTCCCCCTCCAGCGCCTATGATCCATAACCAACAATACCCTGACAACCAATGGGACGACAGACCAGGCTCTGCCAAATCCGTCCAGAGTAGCCAATTTCATGGCTCTCAGGTGCACCTCAATCCCCAGTACGAGATGAGTCAGGTCTACTCTCCCCCCGTTCCCTCGATGCCGTACCATGCATACCAACCAGATTACCCTCCCGTTCCCGTACGCCCTGGCCCACTCAGAGAAATGTCCACAGGATACTCTGTAGCCAAGGAGAAACTTATGAAACGTCGTTCTGTCCGGCATGTCGAACTTCAGAATGGTAATCTGGTCCTCGATGTCGCAGTCCCCACGCACATTGTGCCAAAGGGCATGAGCAGCGCTGAGGAAATGACCACAATGCGATACACTGCCGCCACATGCGACCCTGACGAATTTATGCGCAGGAAATACTCTCTCAGGCCCTATCTTTATGGCCGCCACACTGAGCTGTTCATAGTTATGACCATGTACAATGAAGATGAAGTACTTTTTGTGAAGACTATGAATGCGTAAGTTCCGTCCGCAGACGTCGGGATATGTGCCTGATCTATTTTCAGCGTTATCAAGAACATTGCCCACCTTTGTGGTCGGACGAGATCGAGAACATGGGGCCCTGAGGGCTGGAAGAAGGTTGTTGTATGTGTCGTCTCAGATGGACGCAGCAAAGTCAACAAGCGAACGCTTCAAGTACTCACTCTTGTGAGCTTACCCGCTTTTGGTTGAATCAGTTGCTTATCATCCGTCCATAGATGGGTTGTTATCAAGAGGGTATCGCTAAGGATTCAGTGGGAGGAAAGGACGTGACCGCTCACATCTTCGAGTGAGTAGATCGAGTGGAGAGGTACACCTTGGTTAAATTCATGACCTGCAGATATACTTCAAATGTGGTCGTGACAGAGACTGGGGAGGTGTCTACCGGGCACTGCCCAGTTCAGATTATCTTCTGCTTGAAAGAGCAGAACAAGAAGAAGCTTAACAGCCACCGCTGGTTCTTTAATGCTTTTGGTCCATTGATCAACCCGAATGGTAGGCGCACTCTCCCATGAGGGATTTTTAACACTGACTCCATACATAGTCTGTGTTCTCCTGGACGTTGGTACCAAGCCCACCAGCACGTCAATCTACGAGTTGTGGAAATGTGAGTGGACATCGTTCGTTCTATATTTTACCTGATGATACTTTCTAGGCTTCGATAAACACTCTAATGTTGGAGGAGCGTGTGGAGAGTGCGTCAAATTCATCGTCCTGTGCTTCGTTTTATTGAAGTCTCGTGTCAAGGATTTGTGTCGACACCGGCAGAGCTTGCTCACTGCTCCTGACGAGTCCTCTAGCTGCTTCTCAGAACTTTGAGGTAATGTTGTTGCAGCTCTGGTTTCACCCATCTATTTTGACATGGCATGGCAGTATAAAATGTCTAATATCCTCGATAAACCTCTCGAGGTAGGCGGATTATTATTGGCTATATGATCAACATCCTAATCTACCAAAAGAGTGTGTTCGGTTACATTAGCGTGCTTCCTGGTGCATTTAGCGCCTACAGATACAGGGCTCTCCTGAACGGTCCTGATGGCAAGGGTCCCCTTGCCTCGTATTTCAAGGGAGAGGCTATGCATGGCGGAGGTGCTGACGGTGCTGGACTCTTTGGTATGAGATATGCTTCCTTCAATTTCTTGTCCCACCGACGGTTGTTGCAGAGCGAAACATGTACTTGGCCGAGGATCGTATTCTATGCTTTGAAATTGTCACCAAGAAACGGGAAAGCTGGATGTAGGTTAATTATCACCTTTCACGCTGCATGGCTCCCTCAACGTGCTCGACAGTCTCAGATACGTCAAGAGTGCCAAGGCTGCTACTGATGTCCCCACAACTGTGAGTAAAGATTATTTTATTGTGATGTGTTTTTACCTATTTTTCAAGGTTCCCGAATTCATTTCTCAGCGTCGCCGATGGCTGAACGGCTCCCTGTTCGCTTCCTTCCATTCGACGATATTCTTTTACAGGATCTGGACGTCTGGGCAGAATCCCATTCGTATGCTTGTACTCCAGGTGCGTACGCATGGAGATTCATCACACCGCATACTAATAAGAACTCATGTAGATCGAGTTCATTTACAATGCAATCCAACTCATATTCACGTGGACGTCACTTGCGAACTTTTACCTGGCTTTCTACTTTGTCAGTAGTCCCTCACCCTTATACATCGATAAGTCTGATGTAAGTCGTCGTAGTTGGTTTCATCGGCAACTACGTCCACAGATGGTGCTTTCAACTTCCTGAGCCAAGGAGCAGGACAAGATGTTTTCCAGATTTTCCTGAAAGTAATGAACAAATCCTTCATAAACGGGAAAACGTCTAAAGTATCATTCAGCTCTACATCGGCCTTTTGTTCGTCGTCACCGTTTGTTCGCTAGGAAACCGGCCACAGGTATGTACTTCGACCCATGACAGACAATTTGCAAAGGTTAACTCCATTCTTGCTAGGGTTCCAAATGGATTTATGCGCTCTGCATGGTACTTTTCGGTATCTGTAATATTATCACACTCTGGTGCGCCGGATGGACGGTGTACCTTGCCGTACCTCATTCCGTCGCTGGATGGAAGGACTTCCCTCAGTAAGTATTTTAGTGGTCAGTATGTTTGGTCTGGTGGTTTATTTTTTCCGACTAGACTCGTTGCTACGAACCAAGCCCTCCGGGAGATCGTCATCTCGCTCGCTGCTACGTATGGCTTGTACTTCTTCTCGTCGTTCATGCACTTGGAGCCATGGCACATGTTCACTTCGTTCATCCAGTACATGTTTCTGCTTCCGAGTTGTGAGTATCTGTGTCGTTTATCTTGGTAATCGCAACGCTAATGTTATCATCGTAGATGTTAATATCTTGAGTATGGGCGTTTTCTACTGTATATGGGGATGAAATTGATCTTCTTGGTCGACAGTGATGTATGCCATGTGTAACTTGCACGATGTTACTTGGTAAGAGTGATTTCACTAATTCTTTACCTCCAACCTGACGATATGTTCAGGGGAACCAAGGGAGACAATGGCTCTGCGAAGGATCTTGGCGGAGCTAAGAAAGTCAAAGGCGAGAATGGCAAGTACATGATGGAAGTCGAGATCCCCACTGCCCGCGAAGACGTCGACCGCATGTGGGCAGCATCCCGCTCAGCCCTCAAGGTCAAAGCTCCCGAAGAGAAATCTCACCGTGATGCTGCTACAAAGCAAGCCGACCACGACCGGAACAGTCGCACTAACGTTGTACTTGCGTGGGTGGGGACGAACACGTAAGTCGATCCGCGTCCATTGTTTTGTTTGAGTTTTCGTTGATATGGACTTTTAATTGATAGCTTGATGATTGTTGTGTTCACTTCGCAAGCATTCTTGACTTGGGTGAATACTCACTTTGCGACATCCCAGGGCTCGAACTTCAACCCTTATTTGAGCTTCCTGTTTATCGCACTGTAAGTATCCTTCATTGATACGGAGTCATCCTTGCTGACTCCAACACAGTGCTGCCCTATCAGCAGTCCGATTCATGGGATCCCTACTTTATCTCATCCTCCGATTGTTCGGGCACTGAGATGTTGCTTGAATACCCCGTAGAATGTACTTTAGTCAAGAGTTGATCTCTTCTTGGGCGTCATTCCTTCTGAACAATGGCAATATCCTTTTAGTCACGGTCCTTTGCTGTAATTCTGCGCGCATGTAATTTACCACTTGATCTGTCGTTTCTGTCCTGGACCTCGGGCTATGCTGGGCTACGGTATCATGGTCATGAGGCGACTCTGATATGCACAAGATATGTATCTTGTCGGGTGTTGAATAACATTGTGACACCAAGACGGTAGGTGGCCCTACCATAGGCACGCTCATTAGTGCTTATCTTGACTAGCTTAGCGCGCATGTGGAACAGATTATTTATTGAATCTGCATCCGTATTCGATCGTGACCCCCTCCTATCCCCACACGAATCCCATCCAAATCATTGCACAGGCTCTCAGGAACCTTACCGCTCGTTCGCTCTCATCGGCTGACCGTGATTTCCCCGCCGGTCTCGGATCATTGGTATCAAATTTGCAAAAACTCTACACTTGCTCTACGCTCTGCCGCAATCAGATGGTGTATCGCCAAATATTCACTTCAGTGCAGATCAGTGATGTGATAAACATCACAGAGCTCACCTTGTGTTCTGATTGCCTGGCAACTTAGATCAGCGAGGCAGCGCTTTTTTGTTTCCCGACTCCCGAGGAGGGACTGGTTTGCAATTCTGTCATCAATACCTGTGCAAGATAATCAGACAACATCCGATAATCACCGTTGCCCGGATTGTAGACCAATGACCAGCTTCGATCGTGACGAGTGTTGATGTAAGGAAGGTCCGATTTCCGCTGTCCTTTAAGCATGCTAGTGCGTCTGGATCCTGGATTGGTTCCACGGTAGACAGGGATAGGTATATAACGGTGCATGAATGAATTTTAGGGCCACTTTCATAGCTGACGACGCGATTACCCAACCTGAGATAGTTTTATAGGTGAGTGTAGAACGTATATATTGGTGGTGTTGTGATGATCACTGAAGTTCCGAGGGTAGACCAACATGGAAGCTGAGCTATCCATTCTGTTCGACGATGTACGCATCCTTCAGATGGGGAGGATGTTCCAATGTGAGCACTAGTTTTTAGGTCGTGCAAGTCGACACCCGGGTGCTAAACTTCATTCCTAGTGGCAGCAACATTCGTTGTCTTGTACGATCATGGTAAGTTTCTCTCACAATGCTTGAAAGTGCTCTATCTGATACACCTCGACTTAGTGCTCTGTTGTCAGCAAGAAGTAATTTTAATTGCTCCTCAACTGAGAATAGTTAATTCATATATCTACGAATAGGTAGACTTGATCTGGGTATGTCTTCTCGGTGGCTTGTAGAAGCTGGCACGTCTCAGTGAACATGGTCCTTCAGAACAGATCAAAGTCTCTTGTGTCATACCTCTACTTTACGGTCAGTGATACTATAACTCGCTGATTGACCAGGCGTTTGATGCTGTAACTCCGGCTCATAGACCCGCTACTGGGGGGATGCTATCTCAATGTAAGTAAGATGTTATGTGGAAAAAATACATATTCATATTTCTTCCAGAATCAGTGCAATATGTTCGGCTTCATCTTTTCGGTCTTGGTTTGTGTTACTGACGACTGTACGATAGTATTTATGGGCTCGACCTTTTCAGTCAATGTAAGACAATTGATACTGTCCTACAATATATGACACTAACAAATTCCTATTAGACGTAAGTCCACGCGAACCAACTTGCATGTCCGATCTATATCCACTTGCTAATCAACAACACTATTTGCATTAGTTGTGCGTAGTCTTCCGCAGACACTCCTTTCAAAGCTGATATTATATTCAGGCCGTATTCTATTTCACTTCCAATCCTACGGGCCTTTTGTGCCAGTATGGGCCACACAAAGTACACCATTTCGTCCATATCCGCAGAAAGTACTGATGGAATCACTAGCGATCATGCAACTGCGCATTTACGCTATGTATCGCAAGTCCAATAAAATTCTGGCGTTCACGGGAGTCTTCTTTGTGCTTGAAATTGCAGCCATTTGCACGGTCCTGGCGCTCAACTTCGATCACGCCTTAACATACACCAATGAAGCCATACCCGGGCTTCTCAACATGTGCGCAACGTCGACTATCAATAGAAGCTTCACGGCCATCTACGTGCCTATCTTTTGTTTCGAGCTTCTACTTTTCGTCCTTGCCATATTCGTTGTGCTCAAGCATATGAAGAACACCCGTACAATTGCTGGGAAGAGACTTCACAACACGATGGCAACACTGGTCAAGTACAACACGATCTACTTCTTCGTGTAAGCGTTATCATGTCATTTTTTTCGTTGTCGACTCAACTCTCTTGTGCTTATTAGTGAAATGGCTGGATGTGGCATCGCCACGACGTTGTATCTTGGTCTTCCGGTAATGTGGTTCTTGACGATTCACCCTTCAGGTCATTTAAGCTATTCCATTCAGTCAATTTACCTGGAGATCACAAATTCAGTGCTTATTGCAACTACGATCATCCTTGGGAGCCGACTCGTGCTTGGCACGCGTAATTTCTATTCTGACCCATCCGTGGAAGATGGTTCGGACCTGAGCCACGGGACCAGTCTGAGCCCTACATTCACCCAACCTTCATCATTTGGGTCACTATCCAGTCATATAGAGATGTCGATGATTGGTGGCAAGGGCCATCATCTGGATACAAGTGATGACGCTGTATAAAGAGCTTATTGTTTGATCCCTAATGATCGTGTCGTTTACGGCGTGCCTGCATACTTTCCTTCTTATTCAACAACGTAGAGCAATTACTTCAACAAAATATCAATATGCTATGATTAATTGCCATTTGCTTACAACATGTGTAAATACATAAAGAGCACATTTTTTCCTGTTCGACGCCCAGTGACAGTGTTCGCCGTCTTCTTTGCTAGTATTAGTAGTTCTCAGGTCAAAGCCCACCATCAGCCACAAGACCCGACTCAACATCATGACCCTCACGCTACTAGTTCGTAACAAGCTGGTCCACGGAACTATGAACAGCTGGGACAAGTGAGTACTCTAACCAACTCCCTGAGATCATTGCACTGGTCGACGCATCCAGAGAGTGTCCGCTTCAATGATTTCATCAAACTTCGCCTGAGTGATGAGCTGCCCATCAACCATGGCACAGCAACTCTTGTAACCAAACCTGTGCAGTTGTTGGTGATCGAGGTCTTCTGAAAGTTGATCTGATTGGCAAGGAGAATGATCTGGCTCTCTGTGTACGATAGAATGTTCCCACAGGGCCTGGTTTCGGATGGTTGTATCTGTGCGCATCACAACAGGCGCGTAGCAGTTGTAGTTGCTAGCTTGATCCATCAGGTGCACGATTTGAACCACTAGTCCATCGTCTTTCGTGCCGTTCAGCCATTAGAGGACATGACGGTCAGCATGTGTCTCGAGTCCAGTAGCATGTAGTGTGACCTCGTGAATACTGAGGAAGTGAGGGGCTGACATTTCTGCAGCGGAACATAAATGAGTGAATGAGATCAGATTACATCATACCTGATCACTTTGTCTGTTGTTGATAAAGTAAGTTACATCTAACTTCCCTCGCTTTCCTTGCAGTCGCCTATATCCTGAGTGTTACAGTGGCCACATTCAGAGATGATCTAGGAGTTCAACTTGCTTCGAATGTATGCAACAGTGCAGGTGCTCCTTTCCCCGATCACGTCGGTTACATCTGTGCCTCTCTCGAATGTCGATAGCTCTATGAACGTGACTGAGTTGGACCGCATTGACATTGCCCTAGGTAAATGTAGAGGAGTCAAGCAGATCTTAGCACCGTCGCGGCGTCGTGGGTCCGGTCCGTCCGTCTTTCCAGTGCAGCCTAATAGAAGGAACGATGATCTTCATTCGTAAAGGGCTGTCCAGGGGAGACAAAACACAGCCTGGTGCCAGGCCTGAGGCGATACTAATCAACGGGTTGACTAAGTTATCAGTTGTCTGGCAAACTGCCCTTTGTGGTGTCAGTTTGATGTTGGGAATAAGGACCTGATCATTGATAGTAGTGAAGGGGAGTGTCGTCAGATTGGTGGAAGCTTTTTCGAAGATTGAAAATCCAGAACAAACACGGTGTTCACTGATGCGCATCACGGCCAAATATAAGTTGAACTTGACATTACATCAGAGTGACATAAGATCATCATACTCACGCAAACCTGCGTCCCAAGGTTAATGATATATATGATACCCAACTTAATTGACGATCCAGCACAATGTCAAAGCTTATCCTAGTGGCAGGTGCTACAGGCAAACAAGGTCGAGCTCTCATCAAGTCTCTTCAACCCACGTCGGAGTCGGATGACATACCATTTCGAGTGCTGGCTCTCACTAGGTCGGCTTCCAGTTCGAGCGCACAGCGCTTAGCCCAGGAAAGACACGTACAAGTGGTGGAGGGAGACATCGACTTGCCAGAGTCAATACGGAAAGTCTACGAAGATGCAAAAGGTTCAGGTGGAATCTGGGGTGTCTTCTGCGTTCTGGCATACCCCGGGCTTGGTGCGAACGCAGACGGGGAGGAGCGACAGGGAAAGGTGCAGTCATTTTAAATATCTTATTGCACAAGCATATTTATTCTGGAATACAACAGTTCATGGCGGATCTAGCGCTCGAATATGGGGTGTCGGTATACATTTACTCGAGCGCCGAACGTGGTGGCGAACAGAGCGATGAGACGGAGAAACTGTCGGGTCGTGCCAAAGTACTTGCAGAGCGGCATGTCCAGGCCCTCGGTGAGAGGGGTCTCCCATGGACGTAAGCCTCTCAAATCTGAAACTGGATGTAACTGACTTTTATGTTTCAGGATATTGCGCCCAGGCTTCTTCCTAGATAATTACGACGACTTCATTGGTTCTATTGCCGTGGCTGTGATGACTCGTGAACTCAAAGAGGACACTAAAGTTGGGGTGATTGTGAGTTCATCCTGTATATGCTTATATCCTCAGGCTGTTCCGAGTCTAAACCCCACTTAGGACGCGAAAGATATTGGTCATGTTGCTGCTGCCGTGTTCAAGGTGAAGCATTTTAGACAGGAGAAGCATTAGCCGCGGCTGACAGTTCAATGAAAGAACCCTGAGAAATACCAACACCAGATACTCGTGGTTATTGGGGATGTGCTCACCATGTCTGAGCAACATGCATCCTACAAACGTGCAACAGGTCGAACTCTTCCCTCCATTCCTGGATTTTTAGCTGCTATCATTTTAGCGTTGAATAAATCAACACAAGAATTGTGAGTTTGCAGCTGTTTCCCTTTTGATGTCAGCTTGAATGTAATTCAGGGTTCAACATTTTGAAAAAATCCACACGGCACGGACAACTGGGCAACACGAGCATTTTGAATCACAACTAAATTTATGCCGTGAAGCATATCCTCAGATGAAGACTGTCTACGACTGGGCTGTCGAGCAACAGAAGAACCAAGGCCAACCAGAGACTGCAGCAGAATGGAACAAGGTATCGTTGTGGCGGCTCATACTAGGAAAACTATAAAACATCGCTGGAAACATGTCAAGTACTAATACACATTCATGCTTCACTACTCGCTTACGATCGCTTCTATATCTTCCCATCAACTCTTATTAAAGTAGCGCTTGGAACAATTGGAAAATGATGGACAGCCATCTAGAGCAATTCGAATATTAAAAGTTGCCTGGCAAATCCGTATAAACCCGAAGCACTGACTCAGAAGCGAATTCTTCTTGGGGCCACCATGTTTGCCTGAATAGTACCAGCATGCCCGATCATAAGCCAGAGGGAGTGCTCACAGATATTGTGCAGGGAGAACTTGAGAAAGAATACATTGTACGCAAGTTCGGGATACTGCAACTGGGACGCCTGCCATGGTCAGCCAGTCCTCTTAGGTGGAGACACGAGTGTTAATTGCATACATCAGGAAGTTAACAAACGCTGCAGAGCGTTATGGTATCAACAGTAGGGATTCACAGATGATATGAACAATCACAAGACAAGGCTTCTTGCTTGAGGTTTTACACCGAAAACCAGTAATACACTGCATGAAAGGGTATCGGGTATATGAACATACAAACTCGAGCAGGTCCATCCGCACAACTTGAAGATCATACAACAACACCCCACACGGCATCGGCCTTGCCATCGCTGTGGTTTCGTACCAAGTGAATGAGCTGCAAATAGATAGAAGTGAGCGTGGACCCACAAGCAGATTAATGAATATACATACAGCGGTGCGGTAAGTCAGAATCATTCGATTCCGACTTCCAGAACAACTCTTACAGGTTACTCGAATTGGACAAGATTCCATATCATCCACCGTAGTAGAATTCGGGTCTCGTCCGAGAACTTGGAAGAGATTATGTATTCGCTTGAAGCATCCGCCTGCTTCCAGAACAGTGCAATTCCATGGGTACATCTCGAAGCCTTCGATTGCTGCGTTCTCGTAAACTTCTACTAGTGACATCCTTCTACCGAGCGCCGTTGTTTCCATTGGAAGTTGGACCCACGGTTTGTCAAGTGTCTTAGCGCGTAGGCAAGGGTGGGCGAGCGCTGATGGATAAGTGACATGCGATCGACAATTGGAGCAGCGGAATACCAAAGCGGCGAGTTTGAGAGGGTCTACATCATTATCGATGCCGCCCAGCTGCGCGCGAACTAGATCTGCAAGTTGCCGGGTGACCTGGCTGTTCCAGGCTAACAACAATTGGGGTAAACGAAGGGTAAGTGCGTCTACAAAAGCTTCCGCCGACAAAACCTCAGGGACATCTATCATGCATCGAACTTCCGAGAGTAGACAGATGTCTATCGCTTGAGGAAAGACCTTCAAGTTGTTGTTCTTATTGTTTTTGAATGTCTTCGTCATATCGCTTACAACAACGGCAAGATTTTTGAAGCAGTCTTGGAGGAGGACAGTAAGCCTTCGACCTCTTTTGATTTCCAGAAAATTCTGAAGCCTCAGTAGAGAAACCTGACATGCTTTGGAGATGTGTGAGGCTTCGTACAGAGATAAAGGGTACGTTATACACGTACAAGAATCAGTCAACTCTTGGTCTTGTCTGACGACAAGATTGTCAAATTCTTTTAATGCCGAGGCGTCCGACCGCAGCGATTCAAGCTCATCTCCCAGCCCGAGGTTCTCGATTTTTTCAACGACACTGAAAACAAGTAAGTTTTGGTCATACATCTTTAGTCAAGATAACATACTCTCTTTTCCTCTGGTCTACCAGCTCTTTGCGACGCTGGTCAGCTACTTCAGCCTCCCATATGCGACACAAGGCTGCGTGCTAAGAGCGCGTCAATAACGCATTGGGAAGACTACCAAGAATATTATACGATACCTGGTAGATTTCCTGCGTGACTTTCTCGCGATGGATTATTAGGTCGTTCAACAATAGGCTATCCTTCACAAATTTGTACTGCATGTTGAGTTTGATGACATCAACGTGCGAAGCCACAGTGAGCGGCTTTCTGTAGGTATTATCTGTGTACCTAACACAAGGCCCAGCAGAATCTATGACTGACATGGGTATGAGCTGCCCGGCATCGAGGCAGTTCAACTGGTCAACAAACAAAGGAAGCTTTCCTCGACCGATAAGCCTATAAATCATGAGAAGCATGAATAACGCGAGCTTCACAAATGCCTACATGTCACCTGTGCAACCGTTACAGCAACGAATGCGCAACTCCCATTGTATTACATCACACGACGAGTAACACCGCTGGGAGTGATATAAGTGAACCGGACATTTGTTGAGAAAGGACTGGACATGCATGACAGTACGGCCAGAACAGCAAGTTTGCATATGCGGGTTCGGAAAGGTACGATGGGCACTGGGGTAGCCGGTCGATGCGTTTCAAGGCTCCTGTCCATATTGACTTTGCTTTGCGACGACTAAGCAGAAACAAACGAAAGTGTTTGGATACCCGAGTAAGATATACAAGGTCCAGTGGGTGAAGATACCAGAAAATCTAGCAGGACAAGAGGGTGAACAAGCCTAGAACACCAGTAGCCGACTCGAGCACATGCATACCTCAAAAAGCACGTCAAGAGGGAGCCCCAAAACCACAGGTTTGTCCACCATTGTGAATGCAGAAGTTGGTTAATTACACGCTTTTTAACGCGTCTACCTGGCCAGACTCGAGCTGACTCAAGTTGCCTAACATTATGGAGCAAAGTTAAATAGAATGATTGCCACAAAATTATATTGTCATCATGTTTATATAATCACGTAAGTATGGCACGGGTCCACGGAAAGATCTGTAATACACCTTACCGGTTTGTTCATCATGGCTGTTCAAGAAACACCTGTGTCGCGACGACTAAAGACAGTCAAACATATTATCATAGTGTGCTCGGGAAAAGGTGGTGTCGGAAAATCCTCTGTGTCCGCCCAGCTTGCGCTCAGCCTCCATGCATCTTCTCCCACTGCTCGGGTCGGGGTTCTCGATGTCGATCTTACCGGCCCGTCAATACCACGCATGCTTGGTCTGGATGGACATGGTGTGCACCAGAGCAGCGATGGATGGGTGCCTGTGTATGCAGATGCGCTCGGGGATGGTGAACCCAGACTTGGGTGTATGAGCGTTGGATTCTTATTAAAGAAGAAGGGGGATTCAGTGGTTTGGAGAGGGCCGAAGAAGAACGCTATGATCAGGCAATTCCTGAGCGATGTCAGGTGGGGAGAGCTTGATTACCTTGTCGTGGACACCCCTCCAGGTTAGATATCCTACGGTGTGACGAGGGCATCTCGAACTGATGAGTCAATATGTAGGAACATCTGACGAGCACTTGTCACTAATCGAACATCTTGCACCGGTACATTCACGGCTGTCTGCTGTCATTGTCACAACGCCGCAGGCTGTTGCACTACTGGATGCTATGAAATGCCTATCGTTTACTCGAGCTGTCGCACTTCCTGTCCTTGGACTTATCGAGAACATGAGTGGATATGTGTGCCCTTGCTGTGGAGATGTTAGCAATGTGTTCTCTACAGGTGGAGGTACAGAAATGGCCAGAAGAGAAGGGGTGCCGTTCCTTGGTAGTATGCCTATCGACACGGAGTTGGTCACATTGTTGGATGCTGCCGAGCCCACAGATCTAAGCGCTGCTGACGGCCAACACGATGAAGATAGCGAAGTTCGTTCATTTGGGGTTTTACAACGGTATCAGAAGACGTCTTCTGCGAAAATTCTGAGTGCCGTTGTGGAGAACCTCATATCGACGCTGCCATTGGTAGAACATGCGTCAACGAGCAGCTCTGCTTAAGTAGTCTCAAGGGTACGTCATTAAACCAATATCCGCTGCTTCTTACACATCCTATGCAGGTACACACCAAATCGTAAATCGATACATACCGTTGATGATGTATCCTTAGAATGTGTCCCTCTTCGCGTACTGACACGGCTTTCAGCTCGGAGGAAGCGTTCGAGTCTATTCAGATAAGTGTCTGATCAGAGAAGCGTCAACAGCGAAGCATACTTATCGAACCATACCAGCATACCTTCTGAGTGTCCTGATGTAGGGAGGCAGACCACATGATATTGAAGTCCTTCACACGACGGGTTAGACCACAGGCTATTTTACACCAGCAAATCAATTGGCTCTTCGATCTCCCGAGCTCCGCAACTATATCTAAATGGATACACTATAATAAAAGCTTGTCGCGATCACCTTACCTGCTCGGTTCATTTCAAGTTAAAGCGAAAAGGTAAAATACAGAAGTAGTACGTACTACCAGTCATATGATATCGTCAGAATCAGAACCTCCGTCATCGTATGACTCAAATTTCGATCTTGAAGTGATACCAAGGGTCCGACACAGCCATGACCTGGCCATAACCAGCCGTAAGGGCTCACCTCTCCTACATGCGAATGTCGAAGATCAGCCCTGCAAATCCATCAATTTCGGTATGTTTTGTGGACTACATACTTTAGATTCCACGAAACTTCGGAGTCTGCGTTCGGTAGATGACTCTCGTAAGATTTGCCACGTTCCTTCAACAAGCCGGATATGAATGTGAGTGTGTTCAAGTTTTGGCATTTCGGCCTCGCGTTTTATTCCTTGCTTTTTGTTCCATGAGTCCAATCATCTGATACCCCATCCATCGTCCTCCGACTTCACAGATTCATTCTCGAGGCCTCCTCAAATTTTTACCTCTAACTTGCTCATCCTAACGATCTCTATCTTTTTCACCTCCGGCGGCGACCTGATTCATTGTATCTACGGTCTAAGCTCAATGCATGACCGTCAACCGTCTTTCGGCTCCGTATCGACACCCGCTCTCTTACTCACATCCGCTTCAAGTTCAGCTCATGATATCGCCCAGCCCGCACGCCCGGGACCGCTTACCGACTCAAGTATGTAATTTTTGCAACATATAACACGACGCGTTCCTCCTTGTTGATATTTAAGTTATCCCCATGCTCTTTTCCCCTCCAGGTGGTCCCTCCGAGAAGAGACCTGATTCCCAATCATCAGGCATGACCGTCCGCAGGATAAGCGCGTCCGTTCGCGCCCACGCTGGGGATGATGATATCTTTACGACTCAAAACCACACTCGGACTCTTCGTCGCCGTTCAAGTCGCTTGTCAAAATGGTTGGAGGAGTTACGGGTTGGTTCCTCCACCGTTCAGCGACCAGATGGCACCGATAATTCTACTAATGCGGAAAACGTTGGAACTGAGTGTAATCCTTACTTGGCCTATCCTCACCTCAGTCTGGCAACTGTTCGTAGAAGCATGGATGATGCTACTAGCATGCACGATTATGTCGTAGTTGATGACGGCGACGTGCAAGAATATAATCCCCCTGAGGAGCCCGTGGATCTAGAGGTGCGTCATCTATGACACGTGTTAGATATGCCATCTCATACGTCAAAGGGACCGCATGGCCAATCAGCCCTTGCAGATAGTGCTGGTACATGTCATCAATCGACCATATGGCTTAATACCCCTCCATCTCGACATCAATTTCGTCTATCAGTTAGATCTCCTTCACCGGCTGCATCATCAGCATCTCCCAGTCCGTCACGCCTGTCAATGTTTCAACGCTCCTCCCGTGCCACTTCCAACTCGGAGGCGAGCAATCCTCATGACCACAGTCGCTCTTCCAGCCTTCACACGTCACACCTTGTAACCGAAGCTCGATCGGAGGAACGTTGTACACGTTCAAGCCCTTCATCGTGGCGGTGGCGACCGAGTGTATTGGGGCACTTCGTGTCCCTCTCTGATGGCGATGCACGCTCCAGTACCCGTGACTCCCCAGGTAGTTCTTCCCGCCCCAGCATGTCCTCAACTACCACAAGTTCCTCGTACGCAGCTCCATCTACTAATCTGATATATGAGAATGGAACATCGCTTGTACCCCCTTCGACGCCTCAAAAGTCACATTTCTTTGGATCTTTGAGGTCGCGTTCTCACAAGGCTGTGACCTCTTCACTGTCGCTTTTCACCACTGAAACAAGTTCCTCATTTCCGGCGTCATTCTCGTTACCAGCATCTGAACCGCAGCACTCTCAGCCGTCAGGCTTTCCAAGCCCCTTGGCGCGGAAGTCGAGTACAATTCGGCTACCCTTCTCGCCAAAGTCGAGGGCCCTGAATAGTGCCCTTCCAAATATATTCGTGGAAGCGCCAGACGTTACGCGACCACGCATCGTGTACACCGGCAAAAACCACGCCCCCAGAGTTTCTTTATCTTCGATCGCTAGCCAGTCACGAAGCACGAAGAAGAAGTTAGTCATCGGTGGTATCGCGCCGAATGACGTTAAACGTCTTGAAGCCGTTCAAAAGTGGTGCCAGGTCTGACTCACATCCTTGACTTCGGTTTCTTGTTACTGACTCCTGCCTTATCTTTAGTCATTTGGCGAAGTGGATCAAATCACGAGGATGCCTAATGGCGATCTCCATGTGAACTTCCACAAGGCTGAAGTTGCGGATACTGTAAATAGCTTCCACAGTCGTTCCTACTGTCGGAGGAGCTAACCCAGTTCTCCTTGCCAGGTGTGTCGTCTGCGTGCCAAAGTCTACATTGCGGGTGTAGGCAGCGTACATCTTTCTTGGTATTCCGGAAATAAACGACCATAGCATCCGTCACCGCCCTCAAACCATTTTCATTTGTCTGTAAAAGGTGAGAGCAGACGTGGATCGTCACAATTTCCATAATTTAACTGCGTACCTTCAGTGTACAACGCTGGAATTACGTTCTACACCCGCCTAATTTGATAATTATCCTTTCCCCAAGGCCTCTGGTCACTAATTTCACTGACGAGTTGTATCGATTCCACGACCATGTATACGTACGTACGTGTTTTCCGTTCTGTCCAACATCAAACTGACGCTGTCGTGCACGCAGACGACCATTTATGACCTCATTTGAGCATTTCATCCTATCTATCATCTACATACCTCAAGATCTCAGCTTCACTAATGCCATCTACCACGCATTCCTTCGTTGATATCCCTTTGCTCACGATACATACCTTCCACATTGTCAAGATGACCCTTCGCGAACTAGTTGCTTGGACAATGCGTTGGACGAGCAGGTACTCATACTTAACGATATTTCTTCCGCTGTCAGCGATATCACGTTCTGTTTAGCCTCCTGTAGACAGACTGAATAGAAGAAAGGCCATTTTCCGAAAGTTTCCGCCCTCGATCTCGACTCTTGTTGCGCAGTACAGGGACATACATGGACTACACCCCATGTCTTGAGAGCCTGAGGCCTGACCCTTACTTCAATACGGTAAGTGTCATCAGTACTTGACTAACGCTGTCTCTTGCATTCTTTGCACGTTGACCGAATTGGCAAAACCCGTTGTGACCCTGGTATTTTTCCTTGAGCGCCTTACCGGGTGAGGCTGAATTGGTATCACGCGCTCAGAGCTTAGTTACAGTCAAACATCATGGCCGTTATGATGCAGACGCTGTCTGATCTTCGGGGATATGTGCCCTTTATAGACAGGACTTCCCTGATTCTTCTATTACCTGAGTGTCATGAGGTGATGTGGAAAGCGCTCGGTCGTGGGCCGTGGCAATTAAGGAAAGAACCCCAAATTTGTTTTGATTCACTAACCGGAGCGCTTGTCCTTCACCTCAGTGTTACGGCCTATTGAATCTGCCGCTCGGGGCGTGTCAAACTCCAATCAAGTAGGTACCAGTGGTACCACATGATCTGATTCGTCTCTTTAGAATGTAAGTACTTGACATATTTCAGACTATTTATGCAGGGCTTATTTTGTCCAGGTTGAGGAAATCGGAAAAAGGGAGACTCCTTCCTACCACTATCCCTAGGCCTCACCTTTGGCATCTACCCTGCATGAGGCTAAAGATTCTGGATATTGCGCATACTTTCATTCTGACTTGATGCCTTCTGTCTGATAACAACCATGATTGCTCTGGTTCTTGGTATCCTTGAAGTTGGCTGCACATTTTCTCATTCAAACCGACATAATCATCTTTCAAGATAGCTGCGTTTTGTTCGCTGTACAGAAAACAGGTGTTTGATTGACCGTCCTGGTTTCCACATGCACATTGATATGAGCTTATCAAGTTGGCAGAAGCCATGAAGGCCACCTCCGATCAGCCAGCAGAAGGGCCATTGAAATTCAAGACGAGGTAGTAAAAGAAGGAGCATCAGGGATAAACGCACCAGCGTACTAGGCACCGATGTTCTTCCCATTAAGAAGGGTATCATAATCTGAGACCGGCGCTTCCTATAAGTTAACCCTTTGCTATCTGGTTCCAGCTGGTTGTACCGCTTCCCATGCAAAAACCGGCATATTGGAAGTCGGAAATGGTTGATTTGCCCGCTATAATACCCACGACTGCCAAGTACAACAATGACAAATAGCCACATACTGTGACATACATCACCAGCGTTCTTACTTGATTTCATGCAATTGTATCAGCGCCTGCTACCATTTTTGTCTTGATAGAATGGATGACTGCCTTCCTTTTATGGATCCGTCCGTGGCCCACTCGATCGAGAGTGTTTGGTGTTTTGTTCAATATTGACTCGGATGACCTTTGAGCAAGGTGACAATTCGCTGTGGGCACTTGGAACCAGCACTCAAACACTCCGAAAGAACCACATAAACTAGATACCGATGCTAACTCTGGCCTTTGTATCTTCTCGAGTACCTTACATAAGGCATATTCATGCCCTAAGAAGTCAGGTACTACCAGTCATGCATTATTAGGTTCGTTATCATTATAGCGCTGCGTAGTCTCTAACCACAACTTCGGGACGAAGGAAGACATCTGATCTTTCTTATAAAGGTTGTTTCTGGTGGCAGTAGGCGCTCCTTGTCAGGCTAGTTGGTCTCCCGTGTACCGAATGCCACGAGGTGATGAGGAATGTGCGCAATCGTGGTCAAGAAGGCAAGCAACTATCATGTCAAACCCTGCTTGACCTGTCACTGCGGCCGATAAAATTTACCGCTCCTAGCGCGCGCCGTGGGTGAGCACAGGTATTACAGCAAGCTCTACCCATATATAAGTGTGTGTGTGCTAGCTACTTTTTGCAATCTGCTTCGGTGACGGACCCTGCATCATATTTATCGTGGTTTCAAGTACTCTGCTTGTCCATTAAAGCGACAAAGAACATAATTCTCCGGTACTAATGGTTGATAGCAAGAACAATCTGTGAGTGAGGTTTTTTGACCCAAAAGCCGTGTTCTAACAGCTCTTCTACTAGTAATCAGAAGGACGTTCCGCGACCTCCTGCATTATCAACACCTCAGCTATCTCGAAAATTTCAACGACAAAGTGTACTACCTGATGAGCATCAACAACAAAGCATACCACCCGAACACGACGAGTACATCATACGATTGACGTGGATGATCAATAGCTAATTAATTTCCAAACACTAGAACGCAGGAACTTCTGCGGCGAATCCTCGAGACACTACAAGATTCAAGTATCGCGGAAAAAGGAGACAAGGACGTACGGAGCAGGTTCTGGGCGAATTACGACCAAGTTTCCAAAGAGGAAGAGGACAAGTTCATAGAGCGGACCAACATCGATCTGCAGATTGTGCTTCTTTGCGTATGGTATCCAATTCTTTGGCGTGTTCATCTGACTGAGAGAACATCGTAGTCTGGTCTGATCTCTGCTATCGACGTAGCTTTTATCATTGCCATGCAGCCCGGCTCCACGACCACCGTGCTCATTCAAAATACCTCCCAAGATGTGACTGTCTCATCTTTGATTGCACCAAGCGTGAAGGTGCCCGACGGCACTTGGTTTCAGGGTTTGGCATATGTTGCATTGTCGCTCAGTCTTCTGGCTGCTCTCGGTGCTTTACTCGGCAAGCAGTGGATCAGCCATTATAAATCGAACGATGTTCATGGTTCCCTCGAAAAACGCGGAAAGTACAGACAACAGAAGTCAGATGGGTTGGAAGCATGGCATTTTCATGCTGTGCTGCAATCGTTTCCCATTTTACTGCAAATCTCGCTCCTTTTATTTGGGGTTGCTATCTCAGCCTTCGTATGGTCTCAGCAGGGAAAATTAGCCATCGTTGTCGTCGCTTCGATGGCGTTCGGCGTTTTTTTTTACTGGTTCATCATCGTCGCCTCCTTACGATCTCCACAGTGTCCTTTCCAAACTCCTATTTCAATAGTTATCCGCATGCTCTACAGGCGCATATACACGTACGTCAAGGACTGGCGTGGCGAGGTGTCGCTGCCACCTGATCCAGAAGAGTTCGAGGAGTCACTCTCTGACGTACCGTCGATGAAGTGGATATTCGAATCATCCGCAGATCCAGAGGTGATCAGTTCGGTCGCTTGGCTGGTGCCTTCCGTCAAATGGACCCCCGAACTGCACATGCGAACTATATCCTTGCGCTTGCTGAGCACATTCAAAGCGTGCTTTCCCGCTGGTGCCTGGACCTTTTCGGCACGCCGAAGAGCCCTTGCGTGCGGAAGAGCCTTGCATCACCTAGTGTGTGATGAAAGTATAGGGAAGGATGTTCTCCCCGATATGGCGCACTTTGATGCATGGCCGTTAGAGATGTGGTCTCGCTGGCAAGGCCTCAGTCTTCCCTGGGGACTTGAGAGGTGTAAAGAGATTTTTGCCCAGTACGCCACAACTCTAGATGAAGGTCATGATACTAGTGAAGCACGCGATGCCTTGCGCCTCGCTATCGTGACTGGCTGCCCAGGATTTTTGCAGCCAACCGACGTTGCATTGATCTGGGATGGTGTTTTCGACTGGAAGGACGACCCGCGTACTACACAAGACTTTGATTGGCTCGTGGACTTCCTGGTACACTTCCGCAAGTCCGAAACGAGGGACTTCGATGCCATGGGAGATGCGCTGCTCGCATTGAGTGCCATGCGGGATCTGGGAAGTGACAGCAGACGAGACAATTACCTTGACTCCATCATCTTTGCCATGGAAGCAGATAAACCATCCCGGCTTCGTCACACGGCCCTTCGAGCTATGTTCGATGCCCGTTTTAAACTAGTGGAGATGGTTGACAAGGAGGAGAGAGAATTTCGGGAGAAGTTATTAGGTGAACTTGCACCAGCTCTGCTCAACGCAACCAAACCTATTGCGCCGCAGCGATTTGATGATGAACCGGACGCTGTCTTCAATCCCAGACGTGACGACTACTATCTACGACTCATTTTCACTCTGGCAAAGCAAAGTGATTGGCGTGCTCACTTAGAGAGAGCCGGTCACATAGAACGATGCACATCTCTGCTAGGTCACGTCATCAGGAACAGTTCATCGACGTCGCTTGTCACATCTCATTCTTACTATCTTGCAGCCATATTGATACGGATGAACTCCTCGGGGGGTTATCGAAGCTCGTTGAGGGCAGCTACCCAGGCCTCTGCTCTGGACACGGAACCTACGAACATGGAAGAATACCGTCCCACTACAAACCTTGTAGCCACACTGCCCGCAGCCCCAGAGGCTCCTACTCCACTGGGCTTTCCGGACAATATATCCGAGCAGGAATGGTGGAAGCTGCTCAAAAGAGCATGGTGGGCGATGCGTTGGAATGACCTCCACCATGAGGCAGAAGCAGTTGAGGCACTGCCCAGCATTGTCACGTACACTCTCGATCTCCTGGAAACCCCGAGTGCTCGATATGATGCGGGGAGTCTTGTTCGATCGGTGGATCGAATATATGAGGCGCTTGACGATAGTAAAGCGAAGTTGGAAATGAAACGCCTACAGGACGCGCTGGGAAATAGGGCATAGTTCATCACACGCAAGTCGAATATCAGTTTGAGTCAGACGATGTACAGTATCACTCTCCTACGCAGATCAAATAGAAAGTAGGTCCTTTGTTGTGATTATATGACTTGATAGACGAGTAATTCGTGGGGGGTTGGTCATTCCTTTTGAAATCCGAGTCAGCTTTTGCGCTCGTCCGAGGAAGAAAATTGGCGGCACTGTGGTAGGTAGATGTTCGTCACAAACGCGGACCTCACAAGCTGTTCATATTATTCCTCAACTTATATTCGGTACAATGACCAGAGGACTGCGCACGGCACCGCATCTTACAACTGATTGCAAAAGTATACGGACCTGTAAGAGTTGAGCTGACCAGGACGCCGTAAGCAAATGAGCGACTTGAACACTCAGAGGTTGTGAGAGATACTAGTCTGTAGATAGACCTGCTTTCGATCATGGTCTTACCTCCTGAATCCCCCAACCCAGAAATACCACAGTGGGAGACCGTCTTTGTTGTAAATCGCGATGCATACATCAAAAAGTCGGCAGAAAGCAATGGCAAAACCAAAGTCAAGGAGAGGCGAAGTCTATGAAGATCAAAGAAGTCATTTTCATGCCTCCGAGCCCAAATATCTTAACTTTCTCACAACTATGCTTGCGAAGCATGATAAATCTCTAGAAGGTCACTGAGAAGAAATGGTACACTTCGACTGGTACAAAGTTGCAAATGAAACAAACCTTGTTCTAATTTTCGAACGCCGATTCGACGAATCAGTGTCCTTTTATCTTTCACAGCTTCATCACTGAGCATCAGCATTTCCGGGTCCGCATGTTCATGAAGATGGCACATTGTTCTTCATTTCACTCGAGAGCGTGAGCAGAGATACCCTTGCTATGGCTGTGATCTAGCCTGCCAGTTTGCAGGGTGCGGAGAGGTGTGTGTATAAATACGCACCATGACGTGCATGATTCACGCTGTAGCTTGTCCAGTATATGGTGGGATTTCCGAAGGATAGCAATGAGAAAGGCAATGTCATCGATACTGATGTTGCGACACTTGCGACGATACCCATTGAGATGCAGTCCGAGCCAGAAGGATGGTTTTGTATACAAGTGTCTTGTTAACACCGATTAAACATATGGTAGATACTTGCGACGGAATTATCGCATCAGTGAAAAATAGATATATCGAATTGAGAGACTCGATGTGCGTGGCAGCCGTGGTGGTACGCTGAAGTAGAGCTGATCACGGTGAAATTGACATCGAAACAATGACAAATAGCCACAATACATTCGTCTTACCACCACACTATGTGTAGTAGGCGCCATCATCACTGCCAGCTGTTGGCCTTGCTTGAATGGTCGCATGATTAAATTAATGTTATAAGTAACCCCAATAGCATCACATGTGTGTGCCAACGCCCGCTACCATTTTGATAGAAAGAACACTTCTATTGGTCTGCCTATGGGAAACTAAAGGGTAACTGTAGTGGGAGCATATCGACTCGGCCTCGTTCCTCCGCCAGCTGACATGCTCTCCGTCATAGGTCCTATGTAAGCTAATTGAGCCGCACCTAGTAGATCTGCCACAAGTCAGTCAAAATTCGGCATTGCCCGAGGTCTAAGCAAGCTGTGACTATTCGCATATAAACCTTCCACTGCACACAAGCCCGATAGGCTCACCCTGACCTTGGTATCTTCTCGAGCGTCTCAAGTGAGGCGTATTAGTATCACACGCCAAGAACTCAGGGTACAATTGTAATATTATTAGGTTCGTTATTATTATGGCGTCTCCTCTAACCGCAACTTTGGGACGAAGAATGGCCTCTGAGCCTTCCTTCCAATAAAGATCTTTTCTGATGGCAGTGAGCGCTCCCTGTCACTTTAGTTAGTCTCCCGTGTGCGGAGCATCACAGGGTATGAGGAATGCGTTCAATCGTAGCAAATAAGGCTAGGAACTATCATATCAAATGCTTGACCTGTCACTGCGGCCTATGAAATCTACCGCCCCTAGCGCGCGCCGTGGGTTAGCACAGGTCCTCAGCAAGCTCTACCCATATATAAGTATGTGTTGCAATCTGCTTCGGTGACGGCCTCGGCATCATATTGTCAGTAGTATTTTGCTCGACCGTTAACGCAACAAAGGACATAATTTGCTAGTACTAATGGTTGACAACAGGAACAATCTGTGAGTGAGGTTTTTTGACCCAAAAGCCGTATTTTAATGGCTCATCTACTAGTAATTGGAAGGACATTCCGCGACCTCCTCCTCTATCAACACGTCACCTGTCTCAAGAATCTCAACGACAACTTGAAAGTGTACTATCCGAAGAATATCAACAACAAAGCACATCTCCCTATGAGTACATCATGCGATTAACATGGATAATCAATGGCTAACTAATTGCCAACATTAGAACGCAGGAACTTTTGCGGCAAATCCTTGAGACGCTACAAGACTCAAGTATCGCGCAAAAAGGAGACAAGGACGTACGGAGCAGGTTCTGGGTCACTTACGACAAAGTTGCCAAAGAGCACGATGACGAGTTCTTAGAGCGGAACAACAGCGATATGGACATCGTGCTCATTTTCGTAAGCTATTGAATTCTTTGATGCGTTCATCTGACTGAGAGAACATCGTAGTCTGGTCTCTTCTCTGCTATCAATACAGCTTTTATCATTGCCATGCAACCCGATTCCGCGACCACTGTCTTCATTCAAAGCGCCTCCCCAAATATCACCGTCTCATCTTCCACCGAATCAGACACCAAATCGCCCAACGGTACTTGGTTTCAGGGTTTGGCATATGTTGCATTGTCGTTCAGCCTTCTGGCTGCTTTCGGTGCTGTACTCGGCAAGCAGTGGCTCAGCCATTATAAATCGAACAATATCCGTGGTTCGCTCGAAGAACGCGGAAAGCACAGACAGCACAAGTTAGATGGGTTGGAAGCATGGCAGTTTCATGCTATGCTGCAATCGTTTCCCGTCTTACTGCAAATCTCGCTCCTTTTATTTGGGGTTGCTATCTCAGCCTTCGTATGGTCTCGGCAGGGACAATTAGCCATCGCTGTCATCGTGTCGATGGCGTTCGGCGTGTTTTTTTATTGGTTTATCATCGTCGTCTCTTTAAAATCTCCACAGTGTCCTTTCCAAACTCCTATTTCAGCAGTCATCCGCATGCTCTACAGGCGCGCATACATGTACATCAAAGACTGGCGTATGCATAGAAACGGCGAAGTGTCATCACAGCATGATCCCGGAGAGCCCGAAGCGCCGCTCTCCGATGTACCGTCTATGAAGTGGATATTCGAATCCTTCACAGATCCAGAAGTGATCAGTTCGGTCGCTTGGCTGGTGCCTTCCGTCCAATGGACCCCCGAATTGCTTCCCGAGCTGCACATGCAAACTATATGCTCGCGCTTGCTGAGCACATTCAAAGCGTGCCTTGCTGCTGGAGTTCGGACTTTTTCGGCACGCCGAAGAGCCCTTGCGTGCGGAAGAGCCTTGCATCACGTAGCGTGTGATGAAAGTATACGGAACTATACTTCCTCTAATGTTATGCACTCTGATACATGGTCGTTGGATATGTGGTCTCATTGGCAAGACCTGAGTCTTCCCTGGGGACTCGATGACTGCAAATCGTCTTTCCACCAGTACGCCACAACTTTAGATGAAGATCACGAAAGTGATGCACGTGATGCTTTGCGCCTCACTATCGTGACTGGCTGTCCAGGATTTTTGCAGCCAACCGATGCTGCATTGATCTGGGATGGTGTTTTCGACTGGAAGGACGACCCGCGTACTACACAAGACTTTGACTGGCTCGTGGATTTCCTGGTACACTTCCGGAAGTCTTCAGCGAGGAACTTCGATGCCATGGGAGATGCGCTGCTCGCATTGAGTGCCATGCGGGATCTGGGAAGTGACACCAGACGAGACAATTACCTTGATTCCATCATCTTCGCCATGGAAGCAGATAAACCATCCCGACTTCGCCATGCAGCCCTTCGAGCTGTATTCGATGCTCGTTTTAAACTAGTGGAGATAGTTGACAAGGAGGAGGGAGAATTTCGGGAGAAGTTATTAGGTAAACTTGCGCCAGCTCTGCTCAACGCAACCAAACCTGTCGCGCCGCAGCGATTTGATGATGAACCGGACGCTGTCTTTAATCCCAGACGTGACGACTGCTATCTACGACTAATCTTCACTCTGGCAAAGCAAAGTGATTGGCGTGCTCACTTAGAGAAAGCCGGTCACATAGAGCGATGCACATCTCTGCTAGACCACGTCATCAAGAACAATCCGTCAATATTATCTGTCGCATCTCATTCTTACTATCTTGCAGCCATATTGATACGGATGAACTCCTCGGGGAGTTATCGAAGCTCGTTGAGGGGGGCTACCCTGGCCTCTGCTCCGGACTCTGAACCTACGAACGAGGAAGAATGTCGTCCCACTACAAACCTTGCGGCCACACTGCCCGCAGCCCCAGAGGCTCCTACTTCACTGGGATTTCCGGACAATATATCCGAGCAGGAATGGTGGAAGCTGCTCAAAAGAGCATGGTGGGCGATGCGTTGGAATGACCTCCACCTTGAGGCAGAAGCAGTTGAGGCACTGCCCAGTATTGTCACGTACACTCTCGATCTCCTGGAAACCCCGAGTGCTCGATATGATGCGGGGAGTCTCGTTCGATTGGTGGATCGGATATACGAGGCGCTAGATGATGATGAAGCGAAGTTGGCAGTTAAACGCCTACAGGATGCGCTGGGAAATAGGGCAGCATAGTTCAAAGCTAAATATCAGTCAGAGTCAGACGATGTACAGTATCACTCCTACGCAGACCAAATGGAAAAGTATATCCTTTGTTGTAATTGTATCACTTGATGCAGATTTCAGTCGGCCGATTAGGCTTCCTTGGTGAGAGGGTTTGGGTCTGGATGTGGACCTGGAGCTTCCTATCCCTTCCCCTGTCCGTAACCTACCCTCCCGGTGTTGTCATAGTTTCCAGCTGGCCGGTCACTGAACGCAGCCGCAGTGAACTTTTACTCCCATCGGGTATAGGTATAGTATAATTCACACCCGAGACAAGCATGATTGCGATAAGAGATCACAATGAGGGAATCAGTTAATCTGGGATGCGAAGACAGGCGAGCTGCTACCCACGATCAAACAAAATATGACCGTGGCGTTTGGAGCTTGGCCTAGACATCAGAGCCCAGAGTATCATATGGCTCGATTAGGATATTACTCAAACACTGCCAACCGACAGTCACGATCCCAAGTCCACTAAGGTGCCATTCCTTGGTGACCATCGAGTTGCATCGATATTTAACCTTTTTGCCGTCAGTCGCATAAAATGCCCGGCAGTCAAAAGCTCCTGCGTTGCCAAATGATAAAGCAGACTAGATCAAGATGATCATGACATTCGTTCCTGTCGTCGCACGAATACTACGTACCTACTAGCGGCAGGATGGGTGAGTGGGTATCTATTCGTTTGCTTGAATACCATCGTGATGCACATGATGCGAGTCTGAAAAAGGCGTGAGCAGGATATAATGAACGGTATATATGCAGGTGTCATCTGAGCATGACCAGCAGCTAATTCATAATTCACCAAAGTCATGAGATGTTCGTAATTTATGTTTCAGCGTCTGAGGCTACGCTTGAGGTTAGTCCATTCTTTCGCTCGATCCCACGTTCAAGGTTTTAACGGCACGTTGCAGTGTGGATGATTGATATATCAACCCTCTGTCACGCTCGTCTTTATCACTTCACGTAAAAGGGGTTTCACTTACCGGTGTTGCAGTGTCCCTGGTCGACACATTCTTTCTCCTGGGTGAGAATTGTATTCCGAGAACGTATATATGACTGCTTCTTCTCCAGGGCTAAACCACCCTGTTGTTTGTTCTCACCGCCGCTGGTGTCAGATATTAAGATACACCTTCCCGACATCCCTCGTCTTCCCAATTCTCGGTCATGTCCTCCTATACACCACAGACACAATTGCCGCTTGAACGATCTCGTCTTATTGGAATGATTCTGGGAGGTGTATCATACGGTGCGTTTCGGCCCACTCACGAGGATTCGGTAGTTGACCTTACCATGATAGGGGTATACCTTCTCCTTACTGTACAAGCGGTGACTGCTCTTATGCAACGTCCCCGACGTGGGCAGAAAATTGCAAACAATCGTCGCATGCTTCTTTGTTACACCCTCCTCACGTTCGCACTTTCGACGATATGCTTCGCTCTCGCTACTAAATATACGGAGATGATCTGGATAGACCTTCGCGATGCACCTGGTGGTCCCGTTGCACAAATTAAGAACGCAATGGACTACCGTATCAACTTTGTGGGGATGCTCTGGCAAGCACCTTTCTCTATCCACCTACACACAACGTTGACGGTCTCACCTAGTGGTTACGTCACGGATTGGTTCATGCAAGCACTGCTCGTGAGCTGAATAGTTTGCCGTATTGTGCAAGCCTGACCCCTGAAATACTCAGCTTTACCGATGTTTTGTGATATGGGATTGGACAAGACACGTGATGATCCCCATGTTAGTCGTCTATATTGGCATGATTGGTGCAGTTAGATCATTTACAAAACGGTCATAGTCGCTGACATCTTGAGCAGCAGTAGCCATTGATGTCTTGGTCCAGGCGGGTACCGGGGCTCCATTTTACGCTATCAACGTCGCACTTGCATATCTTGCCTTCTTAGTGGCGAATACCGTGCTTTACACCATTCTCGTGGCGAAACGTCTGCTCTCCATGCGAAGCGAGATGAAGACGGCGTTAGCTGAATATGACTCTAGCATCTATGATACAATCATTCTCATGGTCGTCGAGTCCGCCATGGTATACAGTGTCTTCGTCATCGTCTTCATAGTTGCATTTTCTATGCATTCAGATACTGTCTCCACGGTATGCTTCCTATCCATTTACCAAGTTCAAGTGAGCATGTAAAGACCTGACTTATCTGTGTCTCTGACATTGGCTTCTTTTTCAAAAATAATAATAGGGCATTGCGCAATTGTCCATCATCATACGCGTGGCACGGGGGAGGGCAGTTACCCATGCTTGGTCGACCCGAAATGCTCCAGCAGCACCTACGACTCTGGCGTTCGCAGGGACTACGTCAGAAGGACCCAACGCAACACAAGCAGCTACGCCAGAGCAGGACAGTGCCAGTAAATCGTGTTCTGTTCCGGCCAAGTCGGCAGAGGCAAATGTATAGCGCACCATACTTGATTTCCCTAACTTTACTTATAACCTCTTTGTAATTTTATGATCAATCTCTAGTATATAATAATTTCGTCTGTCAGAGACTCACTCACTTGTACTGCATATATAGGTCATCATTAGTGCATGGGGAGCATATAGACTCGTCCTCATTCCCCCGCCAGGTCCGACGCTATCTCGACGATGTTCATGAAAACGGCACATCGTTCTTCATTTCACTCGAGAATGCGAGCAGGGATACCCTTGCCATGGCTGTAACCTAGCCTGCCCGTTTGCAGGGTGCGGAGAGGTGTGTGCACAAATACGCAGCATGACGTGCGTAATTCACGCTGTAGCTTGTCCAGTGATTTCGGCGAAGGATAGCAGTGAGAAAGGCAATGTCATTGATACTGAGGTTGTGACACTTGCCACGATGCCCATTGAGATCCGAGTCAAACGGATAGTTTTGTATACAAGTGTCTTGTTAACACCGATTGAATGGCCGATACTTGGGACGAAATGTCCGCATCGGGTCTGGGAGACTCAGTGTACGTGGCAGCCGTGACGGTACGCTGAGCGCAAATGCTCACTTGAAGCGCTCAGTTCCAAGACAAGGGATTCAAAACAATGACAAATAACCACATTTATCACTAGTACTCGAAGCTTGAGGCCGAGGCCTTGAAGCATCACTGCCAGTGGCGTCCGCCCTGCTTAAGCTTGAATATTCGAGCCGCAGCTGTTGCGAGATCTGCTTGAAAATTCGGCATTGCCCGAGGTCTGAAGTGGCGGCATGACCGCTGTGACTATTCGCCGCATAAACCTTCACACTGCACACGAGCCCGATAGGCTGACCCTGACCCTTGGTATCTTCTCGAGCGCCTCAAGTGAGTATCATGCGCTAAGAACTCAGGGTACAATCGTAATATTATTATGTTCGTTATCATTTTGGCGCTGCTTAGTCTCCTCTAACCACAACTTTGGGACGAAGCAAGGCGTCTGATCCTTTTAATAAAGATCTTTTTTCTGATGGTAGTGGGCGCTTCCTGTCAGGTTAGTCAGTCTCCCGTGTGCCGAATGCCACAGGATGATGAGGAATGTACCCGATAGTAGCAAATAAAGCTAGGACGAGTACTTGGCCTGTATCCGCTCCTACTAGCGCGCACCGTGGATTAGCGCAAGTATAACAAGCTCTACCCATATATAAGCCTATGTGCTGGCTACTTTCGCAGTCTGCTTCGGTGACGGCCTCTACAACATTTCTCTCGCGGTATCTGATTATCGATATTCCTCTGCCAGTGCTTGGTCGTTAGAACGATAAAGGACGTAATTCTTCAGTACCGATGGCTGATAACAGGAACAATTTGTGAGTGAGGTGTTTAATCCAAAGGCCATCCTCTAACGGAGTCGAGTGGCTCATGTACTAGTAACTGGAAGGACATTCCGCGACCTCCTGCTTTATCAACACAGATATCTCAAGATTCTCAGCGACAAATATATGACGGGTACATCATGCGATTCACGTGGATAATCAATAACTAATCAATTCACAACATTAGACCGCAGGAACTTTTGCGGCAAATTCTTGAGACGCTACAGGACTCAAGTATCGCGGAAAAAGGAGACAAGGACGAACGGAGCAGGTTCTGGGCGACTTACGACCAAGTTTCCAAAGAGCATGATGGCGAGTTCTTAGAGCGGAACAACAGCGATATGGACATCGTACTCATTTTCGTAAGCTATCGAATTCTTTTGATGCGTTCGTCTGACTGAGAGAACATCGTAGTCTGGTCTCTTCTCTGCTATCAATACAGCTTTTATCATTGCCATGCAACCCAATTCTGCGACCACTGTCTTCATTCAAAATACCTCCCCAAATATTACCGTCTCATCTTCCACTGGATCAGACGCCAGGTCGCCCAACGGCACTTGGTTTCAGGGTTTGGCATATGTTGCATTGTCGTCCAGCCTTCTGGCTGCTTTCGGTGCTGTACTCGGCAAGCAGTGGCTCAGCCATTATAAATCGAACAATATCCGTGGTTCGCTCGAAGAACGCGGAAAGCACAGACAGCACAAGTTAAATGGGTTGGAAGCATGGCATTTTCATGCTGTGCTGCAATCGTTTCCCGTTTTACTGCAATTCTCGCTCCTTTTATTTGGGGTTGCTATCTCAGCCTTCGTATGGTCTCAGCAGGGAAACCTAGCTATCGCTGTCATTGTGTCGATGACATTCGGCGTGTTTTTTTACTGTTTCATCATCGTCACCTCCTTAAAATCTCCAGAGTGTCCTTTCCAAACTCCTATTTCGGCAGTCATCCGCATGCTCTACAGGCGCGCACACACGTACATCAATGACTGGCGCATGCATAGAAACGGCGAAGTGTCATCACAGCATCATCCCGAAGAGCCCGAAGAGCCGTTCTCCGATGTACCATCTATGAAGTGGATATTCGAATCCTTCACAGATCCGGAAGTGATCAGTTCGGTCGCTTGGCTGGTGCCTTCCGTCCAATGGACCCCCGAATTGCTTCCTGAG